GGTTTCCTCCAGACGTGATGCTTGGCGTTCAGGCCAAAGAGTTCAATCTTGGTTTCATCAGACCAGAGAATCTCTTTTCTCATGGTCTGAGAGTCCTTTAGGTGCCTTTTGGCAAACTCCAAGCGGGCTGTCATGTGCCTTTTACTGAGGAGTGGCTTCCGTCTGGCCACTCTACCATAAAAGCCTGATTGGTGGAGTGCTGCAGAGATGGTTGTCCTTCTGGAAGATTCTCCCCTCTGTCAGTGAGACCATCGGGTTCTTGGTCACCTCCCTGACCAAGGCCCTTCTCCCCCGATTGCTCAGTTTTGCCGGGCGGTCAGCTCTAGGAAGAGTCTTGGTGGTTCCAAACTTCTTCCATTTAAGAATGATGGAGGCCACTGTGTTCTTGGGAATAAGGCTGTAATGTAACAAAATGTGGAAAAATATGGGTCTGAATACTTTCTGAATGCACCCTACGTCTAAAAAGGGCCTAAAATGGCCACTTTCATAAATCTAAATTAAATCCATTTTTATTTGTTACATGCTTCGTAAACAGGTGTAGACTAACAGTGAAATGCTTACATTCCCAACAATGCAGAGAGAAAATAAAACATATATTAAGAAAATTACACGAGGAATAAATACACATTGAGTCATGTTAACTTGGCTATATACGCGGGGTACCAGTACCAAGTCGATGTGCAGGGGTACAGTTGAAGTCGGAAGTTTACATACACCTTAGCCAAATACATTTAAACTCAGTTTTTCACAATTCCTTACATTTAATCCTAGTAAAAATACCCTGTCTTAGGTCAGTTAGGATCACCACTTTATTTTAAGAATGTGAAATGTCAGAATAATAGTAGAGAGAATGATTTCTTTCAGCTTTTATTTCTTACATCACATTCCCAGTGGGTCAGACGTTTACATACACTCAATTAGTATTTGGTAGCATTGCCTTTAAATTGTTTAACTTGGGTCAAATGTTTCGAGTAGCCTTCCACAAGCTTCCCACAATAAGTTGGGTGAATTTTGGCCCATTCCTCCTGACAGAGCTGGTGTAACTGAGTCAAGTTTGTAGGCCTCCTTGCTCGCACACGCTTTTTCAGTTCTGCCCACACATTTTCTATAGGATTGAGGTCAGGGCTTTGTGATGGCCACTCCAATACCTTGACTTTGTTGTCTTTAAGCCATTTTGCCACAACTTTGGAAGTATGCTTGGGGTCATTGTCCATTTGGAAGACCCATTTGCGACCAAGCTTTACTTCCTGACTGATGTCTTGAGATGTTGCTTCAATATATCCACATAATTTTCCTTCCTCATGATGCCATCTATTTTGTGAAGTGCACCAGTCCCTCCTGCAGCAAAGCACCCCCACGGCACGATGCTGCCACCCCCGTGCTTCACGGTTTGGATGGTGTTCTTCGGCTTGCAAGCACCCCTTTTTTCCTCCAAACATAACGATGGTCATTATGGCCAAACAGTTCTATTTTTGTTTCATCAGACCAGAGGACATTTCTCCAAAAAGTACGATCTTTGTCCCCATGTGCAGTTGCAAACCATAGTCTGGTTTTTTTATGGCGGTTTTGGAGCAGTGGCTTCTTCCTTGCTGAGCGGCCTTTCAGGTTATGTAGATATAGGACTCATTTTACTGTGGATATAGATACTTTTATACCTGTTAGATCCAGCATCTTCACTGGGTCCTTTGCTGTTGTTCTGGGATTGATTTGCACTTATCGCACCAAAGTACGTTCATCTCTAGGAGACAGAACACGTTTCCTTCCTGAGCGGTATGACGGCTGCGTGGTCCAATGGTGTTTATACTTGCGTACTATTGTTTGTACAGATGAATGTGGTACGTTCAGGTGTTAGGAAATCCCAAGGTGAACCAGACTTGTGGAGGTCTACAATTTTTTTTCTGAGGTCTTGGCTGATTTCTTTTGATTTTCCCATGATGTAAAGCAAAGAGGCACTGAGTTTCAACTGTAGGTAGGGGTAAAGTGACTAGGCAACAGGATAGATAATAAACAGTAGCAGCAGCGTATGTGATGAGTCAAAAGAGTTAGTGCAAAAAGGGTCAATGCAGATAGTCTGGGTAGCTATTTGGTTAACTATTTAGCAGTCTAAATAGAAGCTGTTCAGAGTCCTGCTGGTTCCATACTTGGTGCATCGGTACCACTTGCCGTGCGGTAGAAGAGAGAACAGTCTATGACTTGTGTGGCTGGAGTCTTTGAACCTCCGTCCCTAGCTAACAGCCATGGAGGAGGGTGAAAGGATAGCAGCCCCATCTGTCAAAGTGAGAGAGTAGGCAATTCTGGATAGGGCAGGTACTTTTGTGTAGTTCCAGTCCCTAGAAGTGAGGACAGAGATAATAGTAACATAATATTCAGTGCGGTCTAATGAGGTTTTCTGTCCTCAGATACAGAGAGCTGTGAAAGCCTGTCTGCAAATGAAGAGGTCCCAATGAAGAGTAGTGGTTCTCAGTCCTAGTCCTGGGGACTCAAAGGGGTGCACATTTTTGTTTTTGCCTTAGCACTACACAGCTGATTCAAATGATCAAGTCATCATCAAGCTTCAAGTGGTATTTATGTATTAATTTGTGATGCTATCCTTGATATGATCCTGCTATTGTTACATGCTACACATGCACGTGTGTGCATATGTATCTATCTATCCAATGTTATCATTATTTGTTATAAGGGACATTATACTTTAGTAATCCACAATGACCTGGTGATGTAAAAGTCTAATAATGACATTCTTCCATATTCCTACAAATACCTTGTAACTGGAGATTCCTTCAAAACGATTGCCTACAGTTACTGTGTAGGACACTGCAAGGTTGGGTGACCAGGGCCATCTGGGATTGCCCCCTGGGGGAATTCAGGCATGTGAAGGCTACCTGTGTCCTTCATAACTTCATGAGGATGGACACGAGGACCAGGAGGGGATCTGCAGCTCGCCGCCGTGTGCCAGAGGAGAGGTCTGCTGCTCTGCAGGATGTTTCAAGGATGGGGGCCAACAACGCAGCATGGGAGGCAATCCATGTGCGGGAGATCTTCACCTCCTACTTTTTTCGAAGAGGATGCTGTTCCCTGACAACACCATAGACTACACTATGCACAACCAAATGCTCTGTTAAGAGCCATCCACATTGCAATACGAGTATTCTTCCATTTACTTAGCTATGTCAACTGCAGTTATTACATTCACAGTTTCTCTCCTTTTGATTTCTACTTCTCAGGTGAGGGTGCTGTTCAGGTAAGGGTGATGTCTGTACAAAAACAAAACAGGTTATTTTAAGTGTCTCCCATATTTAAAACATTTAGAACAATTAGACACCCTATAACCCACACCTACACACTTGTGTATCAATCTGATTGATGGATTGTGTTGTGCAGTAAGCAGGCTCATGTATATAACTGTGGCTCCTTCAGGCAAGATGACCAACCATGGAGAATAGTAAGACACTTCATTATTTCTATTTATATAACTACGCTATATTGTTTGTCCTCATGTGTCTGTGCATGTTTTTCAGTATAAAGTACTCTGCAGCCACTTAGTGTGGACACCAGGTGAGACCACACACACAGATTCCTGTTGAACATAGTCTCTTTAACTACCTTATTTTCTCAATATCAGTCTCGCTCCTTCACTTAATCCCTCTCCCCCTTCTCCCTAAATCCTCTAGGTTATATCAGCTGTGTCGGTGAACCCCTCCCGCATCTGAACTGGCTGACACATAGAGGGCATAGCATGATCAGAGGTGAGAGGTCACTTGGTCGGGTCAACAGGAAGTATTATTAAAGAGATGCTTTACATTGAAATACAGAGAGATGTAGTAGTCCCAGAGTTAATGATACAAGGTCAGTTTTGCATTTCACCTCCTGATGATTATGATGACTGAGTGTTAGAATAAATAAAAAACAAGGCTTAATCATGCTATCTCTCTCTCCGTCTGTCTCTCGTCTGCAGGTATGTTTTGATGTGAGAGGGTGCCAACCCCCAGTCCCGTCATCACCATCTCACCCGCTCTTAAGATAACCTTCGGGTCAACTGGGGGCCCAAGGCTGTTAGGAGACACCGCTAGAGACACTATTATGTAATTGTGATGAACTGAGAGAATATTAGGGTAGCACAATAATTCATTAATCTGTCATCCCTGCTCCTCTGTTCTTACCTCTTTCCCTTTCTGTCTTTTACACTCTTTCTTACACCTCTCTACCCACCTCCTCTTTCTTCCTCTGTTTTTATAATGCACACCAGATGTGCATTGAAGTACAGATTTAACTTGTATTTAGAATATAAATTACAATTATAATATTTATAATGCATGTATTATGTATTTATAACACTTGGATAATTAACTTATTTCAATAAAGCGTTTCACATTCTCTACTGGTTGAAATTAAGTCTCTCATTTGATGAAATACTACACCTATCCTGTGTCCTCAGATCAATGCAGATGAAGGAAAATAGATAGTGAGATGAACCGGTTTTAGAGTATTTACATGATGCATAGGAAGTGTAGTGTACTGTTTTTTAAATTATGTTTCTGTATATATATATATGAATTACAAATCAGCCTTTAACTAGTTAAATCATGTTTGTAGTCTATTGCATAGTTACAATGTGTAACCATTGATGTCCCAATAATTACATTTGCTCTCATCCTAGTATTTTTGTCAGTGATCATTAGTGAAGAAAATCTCCAGCCTTGGGTCACATAGCTCAAATTTGTCATGGGAACCACTGGATATGATTGGTCATCGCCCAGCGGTCGCCGCTGGTGATTTGCACATAAAGTTGGGAAAAAGTTTAACTTCGCGTCGCCCAAAATTACCCCGCCCTCTCCGCTTTCCTTCCATTGAAAATGAATGGGAATCGGTGTTCACCGCGCGGTACCGCGTGCTATTGTACACGGGGCATAATCCTGCCTAATGAGCGGGCCGGCCCTGCCACCAGGTGTCACATTTTCCCTACTTGACTTCCGTGAGTAGCCTACCTTTTTTGAGGAGGGAGGGTTCATTCACGAGTTCACTGAAAGTATGTTATTATTTTTGCAACGGACTCGCAGAGTAGGATAGTCCTTAGCATTAAAACATTGTCTTCAATTTTCTCATGTCATTTTATTCGTTCATTTCGGAGCTTGAGCTCCAAAAGGTACATTGCTCTGACGCACTCGAGGATGAATGGAGAAAGTAAACAAAACGACCCCAGGTAGTCAAGAAACTGGACTAGGCTAACGTTACTCGTAGGTGGATAACTTTAACGTTACATTTTAATCCATGTCGTGCTTAGTCTTTGTCGTTGTGCTTTTTTAACTCCACACAACTCTCCTAATTATTAAACATGACTGAAGAAGATACGGATTTTCCTAACGAGTTGCTGGGTAAGACACTTTTTAACAGTAATGTAATTTATTTTGCCTAAAATGACTAGAATCCTTCATTTTAAATGTCAGCTGTTTCTCAAGTTTTCGAGCTGCACCTGATTGCCACATACCTTTGGACACAAAGTTGGGGAGAAGAACTGGAGGTGTGTCTTGAGAAATTCCCTCAGACTGTGATGACACCAATGGGATGACACAGGCCTCCTCTAGGATAGACTAATGTATGGATGAACCATTGTCATATTATGCAAAACACAAGACATACAACAATTCCAGACAGCCATATGATATTTCTTCCTCAGAGTTTTCCTCACAGTAATTTCAAAATGTTGTATTTTTGTTTTGAGAATGGACACTGATCAAGTTATGGAACCACCACGAAAATGATAACTGCAAAAAACTGTTTTCAGACATAAGTTTCAGAGAACTGTGGATACATAAATAGATGGCAGTCTGGGTCATGTTTGGAAATCTCCCTGTCTATAAATGTTTTGATCTGAGTTGATGACCTCATGTCCAGAGTGTGGAGAATTCCAGAGTGATGTAATCAAGAGTTTCCCCCACTCTTGCCAGGATTCCCTGAAAAACAAGACTACAAAAAATTAGAGGTGCCTCACCAAAACAAATCAGTCCCTCCCTCAGCTGTTTTCCTGGTTGGCATCTGGCTTCCCTCTTAATATAAATTTGACAACAGAATCATGAAACCAGTAAGAGGCCGAAGCTGGTTAAAGCTGTGTTGGGCACGAAATTAAGCAATAATATTATTCTGACTGCTACTACATGGGAGAAGAAATTGCACCAATGTTGAATTACTAACCTCCCTAGCACTGCCATATGGCCTGGGGGAAACCCACTGTCTTTGGACTGTGTGGTATTTTCAATACTTATGAGGTTTTTGAGTGTAGTGATCATGAAACGGACATTAGGTCCACTCTTGATACAACTGTTAAAAAACACCTAAATGCAGGCAAAGTGGATCCTAAATTGGGTTGTTTTCCTATCAAAAAGCATTTCAGAAAACGTTCTGCTTCTGTTATTCATGATTTCCCAGGCCAGGCATTAGAGTTATTTTGGAATTTGTAAAGGCCTCCAGTAAGCCTAGCCCTGAACATGCACTAGAGGAAATGATAGCATGATCGTATCAGTGTTAATCTTCCAATTGTTCCTCCTAGAGAGTGTGAGAGATGCCGTGGGAGGGAAGATCAAGCTCACCCTGAAGAAGAGGGTGAAACTGGAGGTCAAAGGTGACAAACTGGAGAACCGAGTTCTGGTAAGACATCAGGCCTGCATTCTAGGCCCCCATATAATTGGTTTCTCATTGTGCAGTTCTCTAAATGTAGCGTTAAATGTGCAGACACAGCACAACCCTTCTATGTAGGAGAACATCAACTTGTCATTCCGAGCACCCCAGTGTTTCCTCATTCTCTCAAGGTTTACATGTTTCTCAGCAAAACCTAATTCCTGTGCCTCATTCACATAACAGTAGACCTGCAGTCGACTGTTTGACAATAGAACGTTTGAAACACTACCTCACCACTTTCTGTGGACTTGATAGACTGAAATCAATGTATTGACTTCCTGAAACAATTTGTTGTCTGCTGAGTAATATACTTGTTGCTTTGTATGCAGAATATTGGATTTTGTTGGTTGAATGTTACATTTTAAATGTTACAGGATGAACCTCCGCAACTGTCTCAATTTTGTTAGCAGCTTCAGAGCACTTTCAAAAGATAGCCAAAACGTATTGGGTTTCAATTGGAATATCAGTTGCCTCCATCAAACCCAAGGAGGACCAGAGTCACTTCGGCCTCTTTCCAAACAAAGTTATTTCTACAGTGTTGCAAGCCAATCTTCTTTAACCCTAAGCCTTGGGCCGTGTTCAATAGGCATCGAATGGAAAAAAACAGAGTAAAACAGGGAGGGACTACCTGGACTTGTCCAATAATAAGACATTTTATTTGCGCCTTTCAAAATACCCAAGAACACTTACATTTACGTTTTAGTCATTTAGCAGACGCTCTTATCCAGAGCGACTTACAGGAGCAATTAGGGTTAAGTGCCTTGCTTAAGCTTATCCAGGCTCTGTCGTAGCCGGCGCGACCGGGAGACCCATGGGGCGGCGCGCAATTGGCCCAGCGTCGTCCAGGGTAGGGGAGGGAATGGCCGGCAGGGATGTAGCTCAGTTGATAGAGCATGGCGTTTGTAACGGCAGGGTTGTGGGTTCGATTCCCACAGGGGGTAGGAAAAAAAATAATGTATGCATTCACTAACTGTAAGTCGCTCTGGATAAGAGCGTCTGCTAAATAACAAAAATGTAAAATGTAAATGTTAAGGGCACATCGACAGATTTTTCACCTAGTCGGCTCGGGGATTAGAACCAGCGACCTTTCGGTTACTGGCACAACGCTCTTACCCACTAAACTACCTGCCGCCCCACTTACAGAATAATAAACTATTTTTCATTTTCCATTGCATGCCCTAATGAATACAGCCCTGTATACAGATGCTATTCAGTCTCACCTCATACTCAGCAACTTCATCCTCCTTTAACCCTTTCCTCTAAGCTGTGGGCCAGCAAAGACATGAAAAGCCTCAGACCCTACTTTCAAAAGACATTTGAGCCCTCAGTCTTAGTGTATTATTGTGTAAGAGGAAGAACAATGGATAAGGTGGTGTAGGAGTAGGTCTACTATTGGATATGGGCCTATCTTGTTTCATGTAACTGCATGTCTCTAAACCCTGTGTGTGTGTGTGTGTGTAAGAATATTACTCCGCAGACAACGTATAACAAAGTGTGTGTGTGTGTGTGTTGTACCACCTTGTTGTGTGTGTGTGTGTGTGTGTGTGTGTGTGTGTGTGTGTGTAGGGGTTTAAAATAAGCTTGTTGGACACTCTTGGCACGCTAATGTTTGCTGTACCACCCTCAAGAGTAAACAGATATAAACAAGGTTCTGTTTTAATTGTAGAACATGTGCAGCTGACTAGCTTTGGAAGATACTCTGAAACACCTATGTGTTTCCTAGTTCATAAAAAGGACAAATGTTGACAACTGATTTTAAACACTTAATATAACGAGGATATAACTGACTCATTACTCTAAATACCCGTTCTCAACTCATGAAACTCTATACCATTTTCCACATCACATTTGAAAGCATGTAATTTTCTGGAAAGTTGTCCTTCCTTAGAGTTCAGTGTGAAATGGGCACACTGTAGGTTCTGGGGCCCTATTGGACACACGGTAGGTTCTGGGGTTCTATTGGACACACTGTAGGTTCTGGGGTTCTATTTTCTTTGTAAAGTTCCACAATTTAGTGGTATGTATGTTCACTGTCTCCTGTCTTGACTTGACACAACACTTCCCCCACAGGCACAGACTGATAGCATCAGACACTGATTAACACAGCCCACCATATTGGCACATTCTTAGGCCTTGCTAGAATAGAGATGTATATTCATCGGCCAAACTCAATGGTCAAAATTTGGTTGAGCAGTCTTTATCTGTAAGACACAATGGATAAGTGGGTCTTACCTGTAAGAACTGTTATGTGATTAAGTGTGTGTGAACATACAATACCCCTCCCCCTCTTTTTACACCTGAGATACTGTAAAATACAATACAAATCTGAAACAGATTGTCCAGAGCAGAGAGGGGTGGGGTCTCCTGCCTCACACCCAGCCATTAGCTCACATAGCCACAGTCAATGCTCATATTTGGCCTTGAGTAACCTCACTCCAAAAAAAAAACACATACCACAGCTTTCTGGTCCACAGACAGTTATCTCTCTTTCTCCTTTCGGCTATAACTGTGTATTTACCTGTAGCATGATACTATTGCATGTCTCTAGAAATGAGTTAGCTACCACAGTGTGATTTCAATTGAGTTTGCACCAGTGTTGTTAAGAAGGGTTTAAAACACAGAAATGATAGCAAAGATAAGAGACAATGTTAATTACGTATGTCCCTAATGTCTTGGTCCAACTCCAGATCTCTTTCACTTGGCTCTACAGTTTATATTTATGTTCCTTCTAGACAATAACAGCTGCAAACCGCTGGTGGAAAGGCTGTCCAGTTCTAGTTGTACAGTTGTTGACTTCCGTTACGTCTCTCTGATCTGTCTCTCTCTCTCTACAGGCGTTGGCATCCCATCGGGCCTTTCTGCTTACTGCAAGGGTCCCCACCAAGGTAAGGAGAAGTGTGCCGTGTGTGCGAGTGAGAGAGCGTACATGCACATGTGAGACACTGTGTGTGTGCGTGTTTGATTATGTGTTATTGCATATCCTGATCTTCCTATAGCTCAAATAGCTGCGTCCCACAGAAGCTTAAACACGAGTTTACTAGTGTACTGCATGGTGCTACATTTGTGCAAAATGCTACGAGAGTTAATATCAATATTACTCAAGGCCAATTAAGTTCTTGTGAAGTTGAAATCACTCCAACTCCCTTTTTATGTACTGTCTAATGATGTAATGATGACAGACAGGGAATTCACTCCATTACGACACATAGTAAGTAGAGGTTTGAGTGAGTGGGATGACTTCTGTCTGGATGTATTTAGGAAATTCAATTAGACTGACTGTCTTCCTCCCGCCCCCAGTCATCCCAGACGGTCCTCCTTGGGAATGTTTGGTTAGTCAATCTCAGAGCGTGCTCCCGCTTGTTTTTGAGGAGCACTTCTGGAATTCTCTCTGGTGCAGTGGCTGGCCCAAGGAGCAAGTCTCTGCAGATCTCTCTCCAATTTCTGTTTAACTTTTTTGACTCTCTCTATCTCTCTCTCCCTTAAGGTTTAGGTTTTTCAGAAAGCATTGACTGTTTTTCTTTCCCACAGGCTGCGTGTTCATAGCTGCATTGTGGGTAACATATCACATGTCATGGCATATGGTGGGACCTGCTCACTTGTGCCGGGCGGTAATGTACTGGTTAACGAATACCAGTAACTGCAACTACTTCACTGCAATCTTTGGACTGTGCATTTCTGAATGTGGTGAATTACAAATACTATGCCTTCAGAAAGTATTCACACCCCTTAACTTTTCCACATTTTGTTGTGTTACAAAGTGGGATTTAAATGGATTTAATTGTCATTTTTTGCCAACGATCTACACAAAATTCTCGGTAATGTCAAAGTGGAAGAAATGTTTTAACATTTGTAAAGGATTTCTGAAAAATAAAACACTAATATATCTTGATTAGATACAGTTGAAGTCGGAAGTTTACATACACCTTAGCCAAATACATTTAAACTCAGTTTTTCACAATTCCTGACATTTAATCCTTGTAAAAATTCCCTGTCTTAGGTCAGTTAGGATCACCACTTTATTTTAAGAATGTGAAATGTCAGAATAATAGTAGAGAGAATGATTTATTTCAGCTTTTATTTCTTTCATCACATTCCCAGTGGGTCAGAAGTTTACATACACTCAATTAGTATCTGGTAGCATTGCCTTTAAATTGTTTAACTTGGGTCAAACGTTTTGGGTAGCCTTCCACAAGCTTCCCACAATAAGTTGGGTGAATTTTGGCCCATTCCTCCTGACAGAGCTAGTGTAACTGAGTCAGGTTTGTAGGCCTCCTTGCTCGCACACGCTTTTTCAGTTCTGCCCACACATTTTCTATAGGATTGAGGTCAGGGCTTTGTGATGGCCACTCCAATACCTTGACTTTGTTGTTCTTAAGCCATTTTGCCACAACTTTGGAAGTATGCTTGGGGTCATTGTCCATTTGGAAGACCCCGACCAAGCTTTAACTTCCTGACTGATGTCTTGAGATGTTGCTTCAATATATCCACATAAATTTCCTTCCTCATGATGCCATCTATTTTGTGAAGTGCACCAGTCCCTCCTGCAGCAAAGCACCCCCACAGCATGATGCTGCCACCCCCGTGCTTCACGGTTGGGATGGTGTTCTTTGGCTTGCAAGTACCCCCTTTTTCCTTCAAACATAACGATGGTCATTATGGCCAAACCGTTCTATTTTTGTTTCATCAGACCAGAGGACATTTCTCCAAAAAGTACTTTGTATCTTTGTCCCCATGTGCAGTTGCAAACCGTAGTCTGGCTTTTTTATGGCGGTTTTCGAGCAGTGGCTTCTTCCTTGCTGAGCGGCCTTTCAGGTTATGTTGATATAGGACTCGTTTTACTGTGGATATAGCTACTTTTGTACCTGTTTCCTCCAGCATCTTCACAGGGTCCTTTGCTGTTGTTCTGGGATTGATTTGCACTTTTCGCACCAATGTACGTTCATCTCTAGGAGACAGAACGCATCTCCTTCCTGAGCAGTATGACGGCTGCGTGGTCCCATGGTGTTTATACTTGCGTACTATTGTTTGTACAGATTAATGTGGTACCTTCAGGCATTTGGAAATTGCTCCGAAGGATGAACCAGACTTGTGGAGGTCTACAATTATTTTTCTGAGGTCTTGGCTGATTTCTTTTGATTTTCCCATGATGTCAAGCAAAGAAGCACTGAATTTGAAGGTAGGCCTTGAAATACATCCACAGGTACACCTCCAATTGACTCAAATGATGTAAATTAGCCTATCAGAAGCTTCTAAAGCCATGACATAATTTTCTGGAATTTTCCAAGCCGTTTAAAGGCACAGTCAACTTAGTGTATGTAAACGTCTGACCCACAGGAATTGTGATACAATGAATTATAAGTGAAATAATCTGTCTGTAAACAATTGTTGGAAAAATTACTTGTGTCATGCACAAAGTAGATGTCCTAACCGACTTGCCCAAACTATAGTTTGTTAACAAGAAATTTGTGGAGTTGTTGAAAAAACGAGTTTTAATGACTCCAACCTAAGTGTATGTAAACTTCCGACTTCAACTGTAAGTATTCAACCCCCTGAGTCAATACATGTTAGAATCACATTTGGCAGCAATTACAGCTGTGAGTCTTTCTGGATTAGTCTCTAAGAGCTTTGCACAACTGGATTGTACAAAATGTGCACATGATTCTTAAAAAAATTATTCAAGCTCTGTCAAGTTGGTTGCCGATTATTGCTAGACAGCCATTTTCAAGTCTTGCCATAGATTTTCAAGCATGTTTAAATCCAAATTGTAACTAGGCCACCTAGGAACATTCAATGTCATCTTGGTAAGCAATACTGTGTTTTGGGTTATTGACCTGCTGAAAGGTGAATTTGTCTCCCAGTGTCTGTTGGAAAGCAGACTGAACCAGGTTTTCCTCTAGGATTTTACCTGTGCTTAGCTCTATTCTGTTTATTTTTATCATAAAAAAGACTCCCTAGTCTTTGTCGATGACAAGCATGCCCATAACATGATGCAGCCACCACCATGCTTGAAAATATGAAGAGTGGTACTCAGTGATGTGTTGTGTTGGATTTGCCCCAAACATAACACTTTGTATTTTTCATACTGGCCCTCCTGTAGCTCAGTTGGTAGAGCATGGCGCTTGCAACGCCAGGGTTGTGGGTTCGATTCCCACGGGGGGCCAGTATGAAAAATGTATGCACTTACAAACTGTAAGTCGCTCTGGATAAGAGCGTCTGCTAAATGACTAAATTGCTAAATGTATTCAGGACATAAAGTTCATTTCTTTGGCACTTTTTTTGTGTGTGCATGTTTTGGAATATTTTTATTCTGTACAGCAGTGGTCACCAACCTTTTCTGAGTCAAGATCACTTTCTGATCAAAATGCAACCCAAGACCTACCGCTCAGATTTGTTTTTAACATGACTTAAAAAGTGTAAGCCTACGCAACATTAACCTATTAAAAACAGTACAGTAGCAATGAGGTTTGTGCAGTGGGCTATAGGCCCAATACATAATCACCAGATATTGGCTTTGCTTGAAATGCCCTGCCAATGCATTGTTGTTCAGAACATTTAAAAATATATATATGACCATACTGGTAATAGATCAGTTGTTGTATTACTTGCGAGGCACAGCTGAGTGAGCATACATTTAAATAATTAGCTTTTTATTTTACTGGTCTGATAGTGCCTGCATCTGATGGTCAGTCTCAGCAGAGGGAGAGAGCAGCAGACTGAGTGTCCGCCTCTCAACGTCCCTCCGCTCCCTTTCCTCCGCTGACAATGACCAAAAAGGGACACCATCTTCCAGTTGAGGGCGAAACTCGAGTCGCACCGCATTATTTCTGCCTCATGCACAAATTAATGTTGTTACTCTTATGAACATCATCAACTTTGCTGTAGCTTTCTTTTACGCCTGCTACGATACTGCTGACACGGTAATCTGAGCTATCCGATTGGCCAGTGTTAGGCCGATAGTGCACTTAATTTGCTCTCCGGGCCCGCTGGGAAGGCAGAGTTCAGACACATGAAATGGTTCAAAATCGGAACACTTCACCTACCTGGCGTGCAGGGCAGCTGAATCGGAACGCAAGGCCTTATCATTGGGCTTTTTACAGAAATGTTTGTCGATCAAGTAGAAATGCTTTGGAGATCGACCACTGCTGTACAGGCTACTTTCTTTTCACTCTGTCAATTAGGTTTGTATTGTGGAGTAACTACAATGTTGTGATCCATCCTCAGTTTTCTCCTATCACAGCTATTAAACTCTGTAACTGTTTTAAAGTCATCATTGGCCTCATGGTGGAATCCCTGAGCGGTTTCCTTCCTCTTGGGCAACTGAGTTAGGAAGGACGCCTGTATCTTTGTAGTTACTTGGTGTATTGATACACCATCCAAAGTGTACAGAGATGAGGTAGTCATTCAAAAATCATGTTAAACACTATTATTGCACACAGTGAGTCCATGCGACTTATTATGTGACTTGTTAAGCAAATGTTTACTCCTGAACTTATTTAGGCTTGCCATAACAAAGGGGTTGAATACTTATTGACTCAAGACATTTCAGCTTTTGATTTTTAATAAATTCAAAAAACATAATTCCACTTTGACATTATGGGGTATTGTGTGTAGGCCAGTGTCAAAAAATCTAAATGTAATCCATTTTCAATTCAGGCTGTAACATGACAAAATGTGTAAAAAGTCAAGGGGTGTGGAATACTTTCTGAAGCCACTGTACTTCTTCAATTGCTAGTCATTAACCCATGCACTTTCAAAAAAAGAAGAGAAGTTACACTATTTGCAGAGCCCTAAAAGTATTCATGCTATTTCCTCTTTGGGTGTACCAAAATCAGTCTTCTACTCGTAACCTCTGGAAAGGTAAAACACTGAGGCGGTGATTTTGGTAACACTATGCTACATGCTTATTACAAGTTATACATAAAGCATTATACCAACAGGCTAAAGTGTTTAGCATTAGTTTTCCTGTATCCTGGTAAAATAGTGTTTGGATTATTATACACTCTGTGTAAAACAGAGGCTCAGTTGTTCCTGGGAGTAAATCTTGCCCTTGGAGTTTTGGGTGCCGAGCAAAGACATTGGAGGGTTTTAACAGCTGGAGGGGGAGGTTTGTTCTCTTTCAGCCCGTCCTCTAGCATCAGAAAGATAGCAGCTCTGGATTAGTTTGACCTCCTTTCCCTCTCCCCTGTCATCCTGCCAGCTGTGTGTGTGGGGTGGGGGTGGGGGGGGGGGGAGGGGGTATTTTGGAGTTTGTCCATTACACTATATATACAAAAGTATGTGGACACCCCTTCAAATGAGTGGATTCAGCTATTTCAGCCACACCCGTTGCTGACGTGTATAAAATCGAGCACACCGCCATGCAATCTCCATAGACAAACATTGGCAGTAGAATGGCCTGACTGAAGAGCTCTGTGACTTTCAACGTGGCACCGTACTAGATATGCCACCTTTCCAACAAGTCAGTTCGTCAAATTTCTGCCCTGCTAGAGCTGCCCCGGTCAACTGTAAGTGCTGTTATTGTGAAGTGGAAACGTCTAGGCGCAACAACGGCTCAGCCGCGAAGTGGTAGGTCACACAAGCTGACGGGACCGCCGAGTGCTGAAGCGCGTAGTGCATAAAAATGTTCTGTCCTCGGTTGCAACACTCACTACGAAGTTCTAGACTGCCTCTGGAAGCAACGTCAGCACAAGAACTGTTCGTCGGGAGCTCCAATGCATAGTGCCAACTGTAAAGTTTAGTGGAGGAGAAATAATGGTTTGGGGCTGTTTTTCATGGTTCGGGCTAGGCCCCTTAGTTCCAGTGAAGGGGAATCTTAACGCTACAGCATACAATGACATTCTAGATGACAGTTTGTCGAGATCGGTGTAGAAAAACTTAACTGGCCTACACAGAGCCCTGACCTCAACCCCATCGAACACCTTTGGGATGAATTGGAATGCCGACTGCGAGCCAGGCCAAATCACCCTACATCAGTGCCCGACCTCACTAATGCTCTTGTGGCTAAATGCTGCGGGGACTTGATAACATTGTTCCAACATCTAGTGGAAAGCCTTCCCAGAAGAGTGGAGGCTGTTATAGCAACAAAGGGTGGATCAACTCCATATTAATGCCCATGATTTTGGAATGAGATGTTCGGCGAGCTTGTGTCCACATACCTTTTGGTCATGTAGTGTATCTCAGTGCTTGTTTGTGACTTTGTACTTTGTGGCTGTCTATGTTGGCTTTACAGCTGTGAAAGAGCAAGTGTCCAGGTGTCCTTGTGTGCCTCACATGTTTTTGATTTTATCTGTATGTTTTCCAACATTTTCAGATGTTGATTTAAAGATGTCTACAGTTTAGTGATTCCATACCTTTCTTTCCATTTCTGGTAGAGTATAGTGCAGATTCATTTGTTGTTTTGTGGTTTCAGATTGAACAGACCTTCAATTACCTGGATATACAGGGGATCACTAGTAACAAGCCCACTCAGGTAAAATAGTCCTGTCTTTAAACATGAAACAACCTCTGTTCAAACCAAACATGTTACAGACAGTATCAGTTGACACTGTGTGTTGCGCCCCCTACAGTTGTTGTTGGAGTATGACCGAGGCCAGCTGTCCCTGAAGCTTGGCTCTGTGGAGGATGTGGATGAGGTGGTGGCCCACATTGGGACCTGTCTACACAGGATCTGTCCAGGCCTGTCCCCAGTGTAGGTCCCCTCTACTCTGTCACTCTCTCTTTGCTACTGTCTTTATTGTCAGTTCATTATTCTTTCACTCATCCAAGCACATACATTAGTGACTCACTCATTCACTCACTTGTGTACTCATTCACTCACTTGTGTACTCATACACTTGTTTGTGTACTCATTCACTTGCTCAGTCCGTCGGTCACTCACCTACTCTCACTTTACTCATGTCCAACATGATAAAGTGACAGTGTATGTTTTGTCCTCTGCACTGACATGATAGAGTGACAGAAGTTGACATGGTAAATAGACAGTGTGTGGTGTGTCCTGTGGGGTGACATGGTAAAGTGACATTTTGTGGTGTGTCCCCTGCACTGTGGAAGGAAGGTGATGAAGAAGTTGACCCTGAAGCCTCCTGAGAGGACGGCCGCCCTACAGTCTCTCTGGGAGGACCAGGCCACCACAGACCTAGGGCCATGTGGTAACGTTATAATAAAGAACATATTTCACAAAAATCCCAGCTATAACATAGTTGACTTTCTGTATTCACCTCTCATTCTCTCGTAGGTGGTTTCTCCCACATGTACTGGTGTCTCTGTGACCAGCTGGGTCTGCCATTCAGAGAGGAGGTGCAGTGGGTTAGTATGTTTTTCTCCTTCCATTTCAGTTACTATTGCTAATTTGATCATAGTGTAGCGGGGGGTAGTTCATGGAGCTCCAGTAGCCTGACTGTCCATTCATGTGGACGGAAACTTTAGCACAGATGCCTAACATGGTCTTTCTTGAAATATTCTGACCTGGCTTTACATCCTGTCAGTTATTTTAGCTATATCAGCGCTACTTTTGCCATTGTTTGAATCATTCCCATCTTGGGCATGTCTCTCCACGTTGCCAAACAGGATGTGGACACAATCTATCTAACCCAGGACACCAGAGAACTAAACCTGCAGGATTTTGTACATCTTGAGAACAGGTACCTTCACTTCCTTATTTCACTGCTGCCAAATGTACACATTGTGTGAACAATAGTGTCTTTATACCATTCTATTTTTGATAATCAATGCTGTTTACTTCTCCTCCAGAGATTTGGTGGCCATCATTGTGGTCCTGGAGTATAACCAATGGTTCACCAAGCTCTCCACAAAGGACTACAAACTGGTACATTTCATACTGAACTATGCTGGTGACATTTTCCATTTTATGTTACATTTATGAAGGGGAAAAGTATATTAATTGGAGAAACATGCATGCCACTCTTGAAGAAAGGTTGAAGTTAAATGAAAGTGTGGTAACACTTTACTTAAAGCCTGTACTGTAGGTATAATGCATAATGATTGGTGCTGGGCGATTAACTTAAATGTCGATAATTTTTTGTTTTTTATAACAAATAATTGACCAACGTCGGTTCAATTATTTTAATTCCATTTCATTCATTTTTTAGCAAAGTTTCTCTAGAGATAAATCAGATCAAGCCCGAACTGTGCGATGTAGTAGGGAGTTGTATTTTCCAACAGGCCAATATTCTACATAGTTTCACACAGAAAACGTGATAATTAACTACAATGACCATAATCCATGCCTACTTGTCTGGTCTGTGTGGGGCTGTGTGGGGTTTATTTTACGCCTGCAATGTTAGGTTAGTGTGGGGCAGACACGGAGAGAGGGAGAAGAAACAGAAGAATTGAGAAATGGTTGCTTCACGAGGGATCTCTACCTGAAAATGCATGATCTAAGTGATTTGATATTTGCTATTCAGCAGTCATAAAAGTATGCCTTATTTATACTGAACAAAAATATAAACGCAACAATTTTCAATAATTTTACTGAGTTACAGTTCATATAAGGAAAATCAGTCAATTGAAATGAGTTCATTAGGCCCTAATCTATGGATTTCACATGACTGGGCAGGGGCGCAGTCATGGGTGGGCCTGGGAGGGCATAGGCTCACCGATTTGGGAGCCAGGCCCACCCACTGGGGACCTAGGCCCAGCCTATCTGAATGAGTTTTTCTCCACCAAAGGGCTTTATTACAGACAGAAATACTCCTCCGTTTCATCGGCTGTCCGGGTGGCTGGTCTGAGACGATCCCGCATGTGAAGAAGCAAGATGTGGAGGTCCTGGGCTGGCGTGGTTACACGTGGCCTGCGGTTGTGAGGCTGGTTACACGTGCTGCCAAATTCTCTAAAACAACAGCTTATGGTAGATAAATTAACATTTAATTATCTGGCAACAGCTCTGGTGGACATTCCTGCAGTCAGCATGCCAATTGCACGTTCCCTCAAAACTTGAGACATCTGTGGCATTGTGTTGTGTGACAAAACTGCACATTTTAGTGGCCTTTTATTGTCCCCAGCACAAGGTGCACCTGTGTAATGATCATGCTGTTTAATCAGCTTCTTGATATGCCACACCTGTCAGGTGGATGGATTATCTTGGCAAAGGATAAATGCTTAGAAACAGGGATGTAAACAAATTTGTGCACAAAATCAGAAAGAAATATGTTTTTTGTGTGTATGGAACATTTCTGGGATCTTTTATTTTAGCTCATGAAAAATGGGACCAACACTTTACATGTTGTGTTTATATTTTTGTTCACTATACTTCGAAGAAGTACTAAAATAGGGATTTTGTCAGACAGCATAGGCAGCAGGTCTATAGAGATTAGATGATGACTTGGAATGAAATGATAGTCATCAAATAAAACAAATGTAATATACAGTACCTGTCAAATGTACTCATTCAAGGGTTTTTATTTATTTTTGCTATTTTCTACCTTGTAGAATAATAGTGAAGACATCAAAACTATCAAATAACACATATGGAATCATGTAGTAACCACAAAAATGTTAAACAAATCAAAATATATTTTATATTTGAGATTCTTCAAATAGCCACCCTTTGCCTTGATGACAGCTTTGCACACTCTTGGCATTCTCTCAACCAGCTTCACCTGGAATGCTTTTCCAACTATCTTGAAGGAGTTCCACATATGCTGAGCATTTGTTGGCTGCTTTTCCTTCACTCTGCCGTCCGACTCCATCTCAATTGGGTTGAGGTCGGGGGATTGGAGCGTAGTATGCGCTCCAGCAGGTATATCTCACTGGTCATCCCCAAAGCCAACACCGCCTTTGGCCGCCATTCCTTCCAGTTCTCTGCTGCCAATGACTGGAACGAATTGCAAAAATCTCTGAGGCTGGAGACTCTTATCTCCCTCACTAACTTTAAGCATAAGTTGTCAGAGCACCTTACCGATCACTGCACCTGTACACAGCCCATCTGAAATTAGCCCACCCAACTACCTCATCCCCATATTGTTATTTATTTTGCTAATTTGCACCCCAGTATCTCTATTTGCACATCATCTCTTGCACATCTATCATTCCAGTGTTAATACTAATTGTAATTATTTTGGCACTATAGCCTATAACTTGCTACATTTGCACACACTGTATATATATTTTCAGTTGTATTTTTGACTTTATGTTTTGTTTTTACCCCATATGTAACTCTGTGTTGTTGTTTTTATCGCACTGCTTTGCTTTATCTTGTCCAGGTCGCAGTTGTAAATGAAAACTTGTTCTCAACTGGCTTACCTGGTAAAGGTGAAATAAAAAAATAAAAAAATTGGAGGCCAGGTCATCTGATGCAGCACTCCATCACTATCCTTGGTAAAATAGCCCTTACACAGCCTGAAGGTGTGTTGGGTCATTGTCCTGTTGAAAAACAAATGATAGTCCCACTAAGCCCAAACCAGATGGGATGGCGTATCGCTGCAGAATGCTGTGGTAGCCATGCTGGTTAAGTGTGCCTTGAATTCTAAATAAATCACAGACAGTGTCACCAGCAAAGCACCCCCACACCATAACACCACCTCCTCCATGCTTTACGGTGGGAACTACACATGCGGAGATCATCCGTTCACCCACACCGTGTCTCACAAAATCACGGCGGTTGGAACCAAAAATCTCCAATAATGTCCATTGCTCGTGTTTCTTGGCCCAAGCAGGTCTCTTCTTCTTATTGGTGTCCTTTAGTAGTGGTTTCTTTGCAGCAATTCGACCATGAAGGCCTGATTCACACAGTCCCCTCTGAACAGTTGATGTTGAGATGTGTCTGTTACTTGAACTCTGTGAAGCATTTATTTGGGCAGGTAACTCTATTTAACTTATCCTCTGCAGCAGAGGTAACTCTGGGTCTTCCATTCCTGTGGCGGTCCTCATTCGAGCCAGTTTCATCATATATGGTTTTTACGACTGCACTTGAAGAAACTTTCAAAGTTCTTGAAATTGTCAGTAATGACGGACCTTCATGTCTTAAAGTAATGATGGACTGTTGTTTCTCTTTGCTTATTTGAGCTGTTCTTGACATAATATGGACTTGGTCTTTTACCAAATAGGGCTATCTTCTGTATACCACCCCTACCTTGTCACAACACAACTGATTAGCTCAAACGCATTAAGAAGGAAAGAAATTCCACAAATTAACTTTTAACAAGGCACACCTGTTAATTGAAATGCATTCCAGGTGACTACCTCATTAAGCTGGTTGAGAGAATGCCAAGGGTGTGCAAAGCTGTCATCAAGGTAAAGGGTGGCTATTTGAAGAATCTCAAATATAAAATATATTTTGATATGTTTAACACTTTTTTGGTTACTACACGATTCCATATGTGTTATTTCATAGTTTTGATGTCTTCACTATTATTCTACAATGTGAAAAATAGTAAAAAATAAAGAAAAACCTTTGAGTAGGTGTGTCCAAACCTTTGATTTGTACTCTATGTTAAAGTAAAGTAATGTTAATAAGTGATAAGCCGTAATGGGCTGTCACTACCATCATGGGACTTTTATTAATTGTTTTATTCTGTGTTGTTCAACCCACATAATACATAGTGCATCTAATGTAAAAAAATATATATATCGGAATCGAAAACCGTGATTTTTAAAAATAATCTTACCGAAACCTAACCGACCTCAAAAAGCACTAATCACTCAGCACTAATTATGATGCAGTTATAATACATTGTAAGACTTTCAATAAGTGCTTATTTTTATTGAAACCATTCTTTATTATATAACTTCCACTATCCTCCGAGTGTGGCTGAACACACTTTGTAAAGGGCACACTGGCCACAGCAGGAAGAGGACAGCTGTGTATATAAAGGAGTGTGTGTTCTGGTGGTGGCAGGCAGAGAGGAGGCATGAGGATGAGATGTCAACAAGCGCTTATTAGTCAGGGATGGTGTGACTGCTGCTGATACTTAGTCATATGAGGTGTGTGTGTGAATGTGTACATGTGGCATTTGTCCTTGTGTGTTTGCATTCGTGTGTGTGTGTTTATGCATTTAAAGGTTTTTGTTTTTGTACAGTAAGTTATGCATCTGTGTTTACACAAGCCTGAGCTTGCTACTTTTCACACTAAAGTGTTTCCTTGCAGTCCACAGATGTGTGTGAACAAATCCTGCGAGTTGTGGCCCGCTCTAGTCGCTTAGAGGAGCTGGTTTTAGAGAATGCCGGTCTCAGAAGGTGAGCACTAAGCACTGGTAATATGTTCTACAGGCTTTATCTTATCCACCATCCAACACACACAGATGCGGGTGTACACACAAAACACACACACGCACAAACACACACACGCACAGTTTCACAATGAATCCTGCTCTCGAACGCAGCCACAGTCCATGCATGCTGTCCAGTGTGAAGCTAAGGGAGCAAGCTCACACATTAGATAAACACATGATTCTGACTATTATCAGAAATGCACTTCATGTCGAAAATCCTGAGAGAACTTATGTAGAGCTGTGTAAAAAAGGTATATCCAAACGCGCTTCAACCCAGCCCAAACGAAAAAGGGGGCTTAAAAATCCCCAAAACACTCCTTACCCCAGGATACTTCAACTGGTGTCTATCCGGAAGAATAAAGAGCACTCTGTTTCTGCGTAAATCTGATAGATTTATTGACGGGACAAACAAACACTAGGTTTGCAATAGGCTCTGATGAAGGCGATTCATGCTGAAACGTAAGCCTGTTTTTTTTTGTCCCGTCAATAAATCTATCAGATTTACGCAGAAACAGAGTGCTCCTTTTTCTTTATACTCCAAGATAGTAACAATTTGAAGTATCCTGGGGTAAGGAGTGTTTTGGGGATTATGTAGAGCTGTGTCTTTTCTTTATATTTTCACAGTGATTTCGCACAGAAGCTAGCCAACGCTCTGGCCTACAACCCTGCCTCTGTCCTTCACACCCTCAACCTCACAAACAACTCCCTGGAGGACAAGGGTACAACAAACTCCCTGCTTAAATTTTTTTTCTTTCTATTTAATGGTATTCAGTGATATTCAATGATTAGATATATAGGATACTGCACTAATCTAGAATTCTAGCTTCTAGTATTCTGTCCTACATTGGCATGGATCGTCTCAATGGCCAAATTTGTGTCTCAAAGCTTCAAGTTCATGAGAGGTTTAAGTTTGTTCATAAGTTAGGAATGCACTTTTTTTTCTAGGTCTATCTGCTCTCAGTGCACAGCTAGCCAAACTCCCAATGGGTCTCAAGCATTTGAACCTTTCAAAGACTTCCATATCGCAAAAAGGTATTGTAAATTCATAACCAATTTACTTGACAAATATCATGTATTATGTCATTTCCTCTGAACTTCCTGTGTATGTGTTGTCAGGGGTTAACAGTCTTGCCCAGGCGCTGAGTGCCAACCCTGTTGTCCCCACTACCATCACACACCTGGACCTCTGTGGGAACTCACTCCGAGGAGACGATCTCTCAGTATGTACATCTCCTGGTAGAAGTTGCTAGGCACAGATCAGCTAACACTCCACAAAGCCTAATCTTAATAATAAGGGGAGGGAGTGCAAAACTGATCTTAGATCAGTGTTGTATTGGCAACATCATCAAAATCTTAAATGTTCTGTCCTGGCTTTCATATATTTTTCACACAGGACACAGAAATGGTGTGAAATAGAATTTGAAATATTAAGTGTATTCCATAGACATAATTCCCCCTTCATTGTACTCAGTATTTTCTGTTGTTCTCTTCATAATTTATCTGACACTATTCACAGAATCTGTACAATTTCCTGGGTCAACCTAACAGTCTAGTAACTCTGGATCTGTCCAACAGTGACTGCTGTCTGGACCAAGTGAGTGAACCCTCATCCAATCCTAAGAAAAATTCACACTGCTATCGCTAGGCAATGATGGGACAATGGGACTTTAACCCTTTTTATGGGCACATTACATGGATATTCTAAACATAATCAATAATCTACATTAAGTAGATTAGTTTAATTGTAATAATATGCAATGAAAGTGAACATGGCATATTCGGACGTCATGTGAGCACTGTTTATAAGTATCATACCGTCTGCTTTTAATATCACTATTATCAATTGAAAAAAAAAGATTAGCTTTTTATACAGTTATATTTATGGATCTTGTTGTTATATTTGTTGCTATGCAAATGGCCAGTCCATTTTGTAAAATACTGTCTGTAGTTCCCTAGACTGTGAGTTTGGAGAAAAGCTGTGATGTGACTTGACTGGTCCATGTTATTCAGATGCTCAACTCCTGTCTTCCAGGTCTGCACTTCACTTCTACGAGGTTCTCTCAAGCACCTCTCAGTGCTTAACATGTCTAAGAGCGTTTTCTCTCACAGGTGAGCCATACAACAACAAAATCTCTTGCTTATGCTAAAATAAGCCTGTCGCTCAATAGTTGCTGTTGCTTTCTATGTCCATGTGTCATATACTGCTCAAAGTGTCTCAAAGTGTGCTGGTATTCTTTTTGAACCCACAGGAGAAGTAAAGATGTGCCGCATTCCTTCAAGCAGTTCTTTGGCACAGCACTGGCGCTGAGCAGTGTCAACCTATCTGGAACCAAACTCCCTCTGGAGGCACTCAAGTGAGCTTGCAGTCTGCTCCATTTATGCCATTTGCTCCATTTAAGTGTATTACACCAAGAATGAAAATATGATATAGAAAACTGGAGAATATTCCTGGAGAAAATGTACATGTCTATAAATGGTTAGTGATGTATCTTTTAGACAGGAAGTCGTTGACATTCAGCGTATTATTATTTTTGTATACAGTATTTTTGCTTAATTTTTAAAAGAAAAAGTAAGTAGTATAGAGACATTTACTTAAAGTTGCTGTGAACAAGAAAGCAGTCTAACCACACCAACTCTTTACCGCCTGCATACTTCAGCCTGCTTTAGTCATTGAACTGAATAGAAAAGAAGTCGGTTGAGCTTGAATGAGTTTCTTTCTCCTCAGAGCACTTTTACTAGGTCTTGGCTGCAATCCTAATCTCAGTGAAGTGTCACTGGATCTCAGCAGCTCTGAGGTAAGAGGCTGAACTACTGCCTTGGCCCTGGCACACTTACCTGAATCTCTGAGGGAGAAATTAAAGGGGAAGTCTACTCTGAAATCAAATTCTAAAATAAAATGTCTTGAAACCCCTTTATTATTTGGGTTGATGTTCTGAATTACTTAACGTTATTTACTTATGTACCCTGAATGCCATCACCAAAATACATGTATGGATATTATCCTGATTGCAATTGCTATCCTTTCTCTAAATGTTTTGTTTTTGTTTCTCTCTATTACTTCAGCTAAGATCTGGAGGCTCTCAGATTCTGGAGGGCTGCATAGCTGAGATTCCCAACATCTCCAGCCTGGACATCTCAGACAACGGTGAGGCCTGAGTAGACATTGTATTGATTTTGAACGTTGTATACCTTGATTTTGACTTAATATTGTGTTATATATGATGCTCAGGTTTGGATTCAGACCTGACCACTCTCTTGGTGTGGCTGGCCAAAAATCGCTCCATCCGCCACCTCTCACTGGGCAAGAACTTCAATAACATCAAGTCCAAGTATGGGACTTACTTTTTTATTAACCTGTCACTTTAATATCCTGCTGTTTGTATCGTCCTCTCTGTCTGGAATGTAACAAAGTGTGCATGTCTTCCCACAGAAATTTGTCTCAAGTCTTAGACAACCTGGTGCACATGATACAGGAGGAGGAATCGGTGAGTCAGCTCTTATGGTGATACTTAGCCATAACAGCTTAGCATCAACATTTGTCTAACCCTTCATTACCATTGTTCAACTAACCTCTTTGTCACTTAGCCCCTGACGTCCCTCTCCCTGGCCGACTCCAAGCTGAAGGGAGATCTCTCCATCGTGCTGAACGCTCTGGGCAGCAACACCAGCCTGATCCGGGTGGACATCAGTGGCAACGGCATGGGAGACATGGGGGCCAAGATGCTGGCCAAGGCCCTACAGATCAACACCAAGCTCCGGTGAGAGGTCATGACTCAAGAAGAGATCCACTAGGGTCAACTGCGCCAACTTCCAATACTGCATAAGATTGATTCTACTGTATTCTATTGTTCTTCATTGTCATCTGTTATGCGTTTGTACAGGACAGTTATGTGGGACAAAAACAATGTCAGCTTACAAGGCCTCCAGGATGTGGCAGCTGCTCTAGAAAAGTATGTATCTGTGTCACAATTTATTCTATTCATTTATACTCCTCTGCACTTCTTCACATGGATATTTTGGTTAGGATATGTGAGTAGGCATACACTTAGCTACATATAGAGTACTGTTACCCTCTCTGTCTCTTTCAGGAACCACACCATCCGCTTCATGCCCATCCCCATCATCGATGCAGCCCAGGCCCTCAAGGCCAGCCCTGAGAAAACAGAGGACGCCCTACTAAAGGTCAAAGTTTACATTTGTCTGCATGGTGGATATTAACTGATGACAGAATTGATGTCAATTGTCATTGATAACAAGGCATCGATAGCAGTGTTGAATGCAAAAACGGTCACATTTCCAGGCTATCTGTATGAATGAAAACAATTCTTAGATATTATTATTTATTTATTTATTTGTATCAATCTGTTCAAATCAATTCCCCTGCAGATGGAGCAGTATCTCCTAAGGAACCACGAGACTCGAAAATACCTCCAAGAGCAAGCTTACCGGCTCCAGCAAGGCATTGTCACGACAACCACACAACAGGTGACCCGTCTGTTTAAATCTGTTTGATCTGTAACTTTTATTGGTCTCTGCACTTTTTGGATAAATGTTAATAGTACATTGAGTTTCCACTGGAGAAATTAAAGTTACATACTACGTCTTTTAAATGTTGAATGACCATAAACCATTACATTACTAAAATAAAAATAAAAATAAATAAAATATTACGTCCTCTGATGACCTCTGACCCCTCCTGCCTTCTGCTGCTCCAGATGATGGACATGATCTGTGTAAAGGTGCAGGACCACCTGAACTCCCTGAGGTACACAGAGACCGACGTCATCCAGGAGGACATGAAGGTGGCCAAGAACCTCATGAAGGATGCCAGGAACTCCAAAAGAGTGAGCTGAGAACCAGACATATTGTTCTCATAGAACCGCTAGAACATACAGTATGAACGCAGAAGTGATAGAACGTGGATTAACAAACCTTGATCTAGAGAGACAAAAATGACAGGGTAAACATTAACATCAAACTCTACGTGGGACATCCTGGTTAAATAACATTTTGAAATACAAGAATACAGAAAAAGAGAAACCTCAAACTCAAATGTTTAGATGAGAAAAGAGAACAGTTTTTATTTTTGCCTCTTCCCCTCTTGTTCTCTTTTTTTCTCCCTCCTTCCATACCCTGTTCATCTATCTAGCTGCTGCCCAACCTGTACCACGTGAGGGGCTCTCTTGGTGGCATGGGCGGCCCCATTCAGGACAAGCTGGAGTCCATGGCAGGAGAGATGGCCAAGGTCATGGATGAGCAGCTACAGGTACGCAACAGTCAACACAGCAGTAAATGCGAAATGTCTTTAACAGTATTTTTCAAACTAGATATTTTTGGTGTTGATTTATCTTAGTGAATAACATAGTCTAGTGATTCTCAAGTCCTCGAAGTTGGATGTTTTTGTTCTAGTCCCACACAAGTCCACACCTGATTTAAACTGGTCATGTGCTTGATGATTAATCGAGTTGTTGAATCAGGTGTGCGTGTGATTGGGCTTGAACAAAACTATGCAATTTGACACTGCCCTAGGCCTTGCAGCAACTGTGAATTTGACATAAGCTAGCGCAATGTTCTTGCCAACCCCTCTTTTCTCTCTCTCCCACTCTTTCTCTCTCTCTCTCTCTTTGATCCAGACGTTGTTGCAGTCTATGGTTGACACAGCTGAAGGCCTCTGTCCCCATGTGATGATGAGGAGCAACCTGCACCAGGAGCTGATGAAGGCCGGCGCAGGCAGGATGACCGTCCCCTGTAGCTTCATCACCACCACACTACTGGAACAGTCAGGAGTCGACATCATCAACAAGATCAGGTGATCACCACAGGACCTGGTCAAGACGGGCCTGGTCAAGATAGCTAGCAGATGTTCTCATACAGAGTGACTAACAACAAGTGCATTCAACTAAGGAGAGGAAAACAACTACAAAACAATAATATCTCCAAAAACAAAGATTCACGCTGGGGTCTGGTCCAATGGTAGTCCTGCTGACCCCGGACATTACCTGCTTTGTGCCCGTCACAAGTAAACTTCAACAGATAAGGGCGGTGGGGGTAAATCATTTCAAATGTAGACGGTATCAGTTCATGTGAATTCAAACTGAATCAGTTCATTGTGATCTGCTCTGTGTAAGATGTACTAGACCTAGTGAAATAATTGATTATGATTATGTCACATAGCCTTAGCTGATAACCGTGCAATGTACGTAAACGTCACTCTCAGAAAACTGCTGTAACATAGTCTGTAACTATGTGCAGCCCAGTCTTGATACAGTGCTGGTAGTAGAGAGGTAGTATCTGGCTCATGTTCTCCTCTCTGTCACACAGTGAAGTGAAGCTCAGTATGGCGTCCTTCCTCTCAGACCGTATCGTGGATGAGATCCTGGAATCTCTGTCCCGTTCCCAAAACACTCTGGTCAGTACTGTATCCTAAAATAGACTCTTTCTCTCTATTTATTTCCTCCTTAATGCGTTTGTGCCAATCACATTTCAAGAACTTAGAAAGTTTCTCCAAGTGCCGTCACAAAAACCACCATTCGCTATGATGATACTGGCTCTCTTGAGGACCGCCACAGGAATGGAAGACCCAGAGTTACCTCTGCTGCAGAGGATAAGTTCATTAGAGGTACCTCAGAAATTGCAGCCCAAATAAATGCTTCACAGAGTTCAAGTAACAGACACATCTCAACATAAACTGTTCAGAGGGGACTGTGTGAATCAGGCCTTCATGGTCGAATTGCTGCAAAGAAACCACTACTAAAGGACACCATAAAGAAGAAGAGACTTGCTTGGGCCAAAAAACACAAGCAATGGACATTAGACCGGTGGAAATGTGTCCTTTGGTCTGGAGTCCAAATTGGAGATGTTTGGTTCCAACTGCTGTGTCTTTGTGAGACGCGGTGTGGGTGAACGGATGATCTCCACATGTGTAGTTCCCACCGTAAAGCATGAAGGAGGAGGTGTTATGGTGTGGGGTTGCTTTGCTGGTGACACTGTCTGTGATTTATTTATGTGGAGATCATCCGTTCACCCAAAACCCGTGGCAAAACCCTTGTTGGCAATCACAGAGGTCAGACGTTTCTTGTAGTTGGCCACCAGGTTTGCACACATCTCAGGAGGGATTTTGTCCCACTCCTCTTTGCAGATCTTCTCCAAGTCATTAAGGTTTCGAGGCTGACGTTTGGCAACTCGAACCTTCAGCTCCCTCCACATATTTTCTATGGGATTAAGGTCTGGAGACTGGCCACTCCAGGACCTTAATGTGCTTCTTCTTGAGCCACTCCTTTGTTGCCTTGGCCGTGTGTTTTGGGTCATTGTCATGCTGGAATACCCATCCACGACCCATTTTCAATGCCCTGGCTGAGGGAAGGAGGTTCTCACCCAAGATATGACGGTACATGGCCCCGTCCATCGTCCCTCTGATACGGTGAAGTTGTTCTGTCCCCTTAGCAGAAAAACACCCTCAAAGCATAATGTTTCCACCTCCATGTTTGACGGTGGGGATGGTGTTCTTGGGGTCATAGGCAGCATTCCTCCTCCTCCAAACACGGCGAGTTGAGTTGATGCCAAAGAGCTCGATTTTGGTCTCATCTGACCACAACACTTTCACCCAGTTCTCCTCTGAATCATTCAGATGTTCATTGGCAAACTTCAGACGGGCCTGTATATGTGCTTTCTTGAGCAGGGGGGACCTTGCGGGCGCTGCAGGATTTCAGTCCCTCACGGCGTAGTGTGTTACCAATTGTTTTCTTGGTGACTATGGTCCCAGCTGCCTTGAGGTCATTGACAAGATCCTCCCGTGTAGTTCTGGGCTGCTTCCTCACCGTTCTCATGATCATTGCAACTCCACGAGGTGAGATCTTGCATGGAGCCCCAGGCCGATGGAGATTGACAGTTATTTTGTGTTTGTTCCATTTGCGAATAATCGCACCAACTGTTGTCACCTTCTCACCAAGCTGCTTGGCGATGGTCTTGTAGCCCATTCCAGCCTTGTGTAGGTCTACAATCTTGTCCCTGACATCCTTGGAGAGCTCTTTGGTCTTGGCCATGGTGGAGAGTTTGGAATCTGACTGATTGATTGCTTCAGTGGACAGGTGTCTTTTATACAAGTAACAAACTGAGATTAGGAGCACTCCCTGTAAGAGTCTGCTCCTAATCTCAACTCGTTACTTGTATAAAAGACACCTGGGAGCCAGAAATCTTTCTGATTGAGAGGGGGTCAAATACTTATTTCCCTCATTAAAATGCAAATCAATTTATAACATTTTTGACATGCGTTTTCTGCATTTTGTTGTTGTTATTCTGTCTCTCACTGTTCAAATAAACCTACCATTCAAATTATAGACTGATTATTTATTTGTCAGTGGGCAAACGTACAAAATCAGCAGGGGATCAAATACTTCTTTCCCTCACTGTAGGTGGTTCCAAACTTTTGACTGGTAGTGTGTGTGTGTGTGTGTATGTATATATATATATATATACACACACACACACACACACACACACACAGACAATAATGCATTTTTGCTTAAATTACTTTTAATCCTGATTAGGGCACTTCTGCACCACATCAAAGCAAATACTGGTGAAGAAACACTGACAGTGTAAATACTGGTGAACACTGACAGTGTATGGCTTTTCCTCCCTCCCCACCCCAGGCAGAACACCTGACCAGGAAACCGCAGCCTCTTCTCCACCAGGAGCTCAAAGAGACGGAGGTGCTGGAGGAGACGGTCCTCCAACCTGAGGCCCAGACCCAGGAGCAGAGGCAGCACCATGCTGAGAGGCTGGAGGAGATGGACACCTGTGTGGTAACTAAGACTGGTCCCTTCTGCTATGAAGGCTTGTGATGCCCATCTGCTGTACTGAAGCTTGACTCACTGGCTGACTGTTTTTTCTTGACTGTGTTTGTGACCTGCGGATGACACCCAAGTCCAAGAGGAAGAGCATTCTCTGCAGGATGCTGCGGCCTGTATCTGTGGCCTTTGGTGAGGTTATGTTCTACATCCCGGGTACAGTAGATCTGCTCAAATAGATTTAGATTACAGTACAGTAGTAATGTAGTATTTTAGCAACTTGGAATGAGAGAGGTTTGGTTTTACCTCATCTATTTATGGTTGTTCTTGTCCATCAGAAATGGAGTTTGACTTGGACAAGGCCCTGGAAGAAGTGCCTATACATGAGGAAGACCCGCCCCATCCTCCCCCATTGGACAAGAAGCCGACGTACTTTGGCGAGCTGCCCACTATGGAGGCCCGAAAACTAGAGCATCACACCAAGCTCCGCCCCAAACCGAAAAAGAGGGCCAACCCTAGCCGAGCACCAGTAAGAGGCCTTCCACCTGACCCCTCTCTCTTATTCCCCCTCTCTTTCTCCCTCTTTCTCTCTTTCTATGTCTACCTACTATTCTGTATGATATTGAGTATGGCTTGATGTAGGCCTACATATTTCTGGGGTTTTCAGCGGGAACCAATCTGCACCTCTCCACCACCAGAAGTGGAGAAGAACGACCTCCTGGGAAAAGTGGATGAGGGTGTTGATGAATTCTTCTACAAAAAAATCACCAAACTTAGTTTTAAGTGAGTCCTAATTCCTATTATGGTGAACTCTTCCCAAAAGTAAATGAAATTACTTGATGTTTAGAATAAATTATTTGTTTCCATAAGATTTAAATCACTCAGTGTTTGTGTTAAAGCATGCAGCAGTAAGCTAACAATGGCTAGATTGTTTGCAGGCTAACTACCTACAGGTAAATGCCAAAATAAAGGAAACACCAACATAAAGTGTCTTAATAAGGCGTTGGGTCACCATGAGCCGCCAGAACAGCTTCAGTGAGCATCGGCATAGATTCTACAAGTGTCTGGAACTCTATTGGAGGGATGCGACACCATTCTTCCCCGAGAAATTCCATAATTTGTTATTTTGTTGATGGTGGCGCAAAACCCTGTCTCAGGCGCCACTCCAGAATCTCACACAAGTGTTCAATTGGGTTGAGATCTGGTGACTGAGACACACACACACACCCTTTAAACCCCCTATGGTCCTTTGAGACCTTTTTCAAAGTCACTGAGGTCTCTTCTTCTAGCCATGGTAGCCAAAATAATGGGTGTTTCTATATATGACCCTAAGCATGATGGGATGATAATTGCATAATTAACTCATGATCCACACCTGTTTGGAAGCACCTGCTTTCAATATACTTTGTATCCCTCATTTACTCAAGTGTTTGCTTTATTTTGGCCGTTTACCTGTACCTTTTAATTTACGTATTTAAAAGTTGTTAATTATAGAAGTTTGTGAGTGTGTACTGTTCAGCAAAAGCATTCTTTAACATTTCTAGACGACCCACCCTGAGGGGCTCCTCCAACATCCAGGAGGGGTCGGAGAAGAAACGGGAATCCCGGAAAAGCGGCTTCCTTAACCTCATCAAGTCTCGCACCTCCAAGTCTGAGAAGAGCCATGGAACAGCTGCCATCACCACCCCGGCTTCTGCGACCGTCAGCACTGTGACAGAGGAGCCCCTGTCCCCCAAGGCTCCGTTGTGGGACCACTCCGAAATCTCCCCTAACCACACAAAAAAGCAGCCAACCCCTGAACTCACTGAGGAACAGCACTTGGAGAGTGACAGTAAGGGTAGTCCTCATGGTGGCCGGCACTTTGGGGTCCCCATAATGGGCCCCATAATGTGCATGGACCTCCTGGCTGAGATGAGAAAAATGCATGAGAAAATGGCCGCCCATAAGGTGGGTAAACTGACCAGATTTAGCTGCTTTTGACTCTGTTACAGTGGGGAGAACAAGTATTTGATACACTGCAGATTTTGCAGGTTTTCCTACTTACAAAGCATGTAGAGGTCTGTAATTTTTATCATAGGTACACTTCAACTGTGAGAGACGGAATCTAAAACAAAAATCCAGAAAATCCCATTGTATGATTTTTAAGTAATTAATTTGCATTTTATTGCATGACATAAGTATTTGATCACCTACCAACCAGTAAGAATTCCGGCTCTCACAAACCTGTTAGTTTTTCTTTAAGAAGCCCTCCTGTTCTCCACTCATTACCTGTATTAACTGCACCTGTTTGAACTCGTTACCTGTATAAAAGACTCCTGTCCACACACTCAATCAAACAGACTCCAACCTCTCCACAATGGCCAAGACCAGACAGCTGTGTAAGGACATCAGGGATAAAATTGTAGACCTGCAAAAGGCTGTGATGGGCTACAGGACAATAGGCAAGCAGCTTGGTGAGAAGGCAACAACTTTTGGCGCAATTATTAGAAAATTGAAGAAGTTCAAGATGACGGTCAATCACCCTCGGTCTGGGGCTCCATGCAAGATCTCAATGATCATGAGGAAGGTGAGGGATCAGCCCAGAACTACACGGCAGGACCTGGTCAATGACCTGAAGAGAGCTGGGACCGCAGTCTCAAAGAAAACCATTAGTAACACACTACGCCGTCATGGATTAAAATCCTGCAGCGCACGTAAGGTCCCTCTGCTCAAGCCAGCGCATGTCCAGGCCCGTCTGAAGTTTGCCAATGACCATCTGGATGATCCAGAGGAGGAATGGGAGAAGGTCATGTGGTCTGATGAGACAAAAATAGAGCTTTTTGGTCTAAACTCCACTCGCCGTGTTTGGAGGAAGAAGAAGGATGAGTACAACCCCAAGAACACCATCCCAACCGTGAAGCATGGAGGTGGAAACATCATTCTTTGGGGATGCTTTTCCGCAAAGGGGACAGGACGACTGCACCGTATTGAGGGGAGGATGGATGGGGCCATGTATCGCAAGATCTTGGCCAACAACCTCCTTCCCTCAGTAAGAGCATTGAAGATGGGTCGTGGCTGGGTCTTCCAGCATGACAATGACCCGAAGACACACAGCCAGGGCAACTAAGGAGTGGCTCCGTAAGAAGCATCTCAAGGTCCTGGAGTGGCCTAGCCAGTCTCCAGACCTGAACCCAATAGAAAATCTTTGGAGGGAGCTGAAAGTCCGTATTGCCCAGCGACAGCCCCGAAACCTGAAGGATCTGGAGAAGGTCTGTATGGAGGAGTGGGCCAAAATCCCTGCTGCAGTGTGTGCAAACCTGGTCAATACCTACAGGAAACGTATGATCTCTGTAATTGCAAACAAAGGTTACAATTGACGAAGTCACCCATAATTCACCAAATGATATTTTGAAGGAAGAAACAAAGTACTTTAAGCATATGTTTTCTTTTCAGTCGCCTCCATCTCCTCTAACTGAAGCTAATTGTAGAGATTTTTTTTCTATTGATAATGTCAAATTAACAGCCACACATAAAGACTCATGTGAAGGTGAAATTACAGAGGAGGAACTTCTGGATGCAATTAAAGACTTTAAGTCTGGGAAAACTCCAGGGTTGGATGGCATACCAGTCGAGGTATACCAAACCTTTTTTGATATACTAAGAGGACCGTTATTAGCATGTTTTAACCACTCCTATGTAAATGGTAGATTATCTGACACTCAAGAAGAAGGTCTGATCTCATTATTACTGAAACAGGATACAAGTGGAAAATATAAAGATCCAGTCCATTTACAAAATTGGAGGCCCCTTACACTTCAGTGTTGTGATGCAAAAACCTAGCAAAATGTATTGCGCATAGAATTAAAAAGGTATTGTCGGATATTATTCATTCTAATCAGACAGGTTTTTTACATGGAAGATACATTGGAGATAATATAAGGCAAGTATTGGAAACAATAGAACACTATGGAAAATATGGGAAACCAGGCCTGCTATTCATAGCAGACTTCGAAAAGGCATTTGATAAAGTTCGACTGGGGTTTATATATAAATGCCTGGAGCATTTCAATTTTGGAGAATCTCTTATAAAATGGGTCAAAATCATGTATAGTAACCCTAGGTGTAAAATAGTAAATAATGGCTATTTCTCTGAAAGTTTTAAACTGTCAAGAGGAGTGAAACAAGGTTGTCCACTATCGGCATTTCTATTTATTGTGGCCATCGAGATGTTAGCTATTAAAATCAGATCCAATAATAATATCAGAGGATTAGAAATAAAGGGCTTAAAAACAAAGGTGTCATTGTACGCTGATGATTCATGTTTTCTTTTAAATCCACAACTAGAATCCCTCCACAGCCTCATAGAGGATCTAGATACATTTTCTAACCTCTCTGGATTACAACCAAATTATGACAAATGTACTATATTACGTATTGGATCACTAAAAAATACAATTTTCACATTACCATGTAGTTTACCAATAAAATGGTCTGACGGTGATGTGGATATACTCGGAATACATATCCCAAAGGAAATAAATGATCTCACTTCAATACATTTTAATAGAAAGTTAGCAAAAATAGATAAGATCTTACTACCATGGAAAGGAAAATACCTGTTAATTTGTGGAAAAATCACCCTGATTAACTCTTTAGTATTATCCCAGTTTACCTATTTGCTTATGGTCTTGCCTACGCCTAGCGAACAGTTTTTTAAATTATATGAGAAAAAAATATTCAATTTTATTTGGAACGGCAAGCCAGACAAAATTAAAAGAGCATATTTATATAATGAATATGAATTCGGAGGACAGAAATTATTAAATATTAAAGCATTAGACCTATCACTAAAAGCTTCAGTCATACAAAAGTTATACTTAAATCCGAACTGGTTCTCAAGCAAATTAGTAAGATTGTCTCACCCAATGTTCAAGAAAGGCCTTTTTCCCTTTATTCAGATTACAACCTCTCACTTTCAGTTATTTGAAAAGGAAATAATCTCCCAAATGTCACTATTTCTAAAACAAGCCATAGAAAGTTGGTTGCAATTTCAATTTAATCCTCCAGAAACGACAGAACAAATAATGCAACAAATATTGTGGTTAAATTCAAATAGACTAATTGACAAAAAACCTTTATTTTTTGACAGAATGTTTAAAAAAGGTATAATCTTCGTAAATGATATCATCGGTAGGACTGGTGGAGTTATGTCGCACATGCAGCTAACAAAAACATATGGAAATGTCTGCTCTACCCAAAATTACAACCAAATAATTGCAGCCTTACCGCAAAAGTGGAAGAGGAAAGTGGAAGGGGGAGAAAGTAAGGAACTTGTCTGTCGGCCTTGCATTAAAGAACATAATTGGTTAAGGAAAACTGTGATAAATAAAAAAGTATATCAGTTTCACTTAAGGACCAAAGGATTGACAGCCGTCCCATATAGATTGCAAAATAGTTGGGAAGAGATCTTTGACGTACCGATCCCATGGCATAGTGTTTATGAACTGACACGCAAAACGACACCGGATTCAAAAATTTGAATCTTTCAATTTAAATTATTATATAAAATTCTTGCTACCAATAGAATGTTATTTATATGGGGGATACAATCTTCCCAGCTCTGCATATTTTGCTGTGAAGAGACAGAATCATTAGATCATTTGTTTTGGTTCTGTCCATTTGTAGCTTGTTTTTGGACACAGGTCCAGGAATGGCTAAAGGATTGCAATATTTACCTGGAACTAACCTTGCAGATAGCATTACTGGGTGATCTGAAAAGTCATAGTCAATCAATCAATAATATAATAATACTTTTAGCAAAAAAAAAAAAAAATTTAATTCACAATCTGTAGAAGCAATGAGAATAGAAAGGTTCAGAACTTTTGTAAAACATCACAGTACGGTTGAAATATATATGGCAAATAGAAATCCTATATGGATGGTGTTAAGAGATAGATGGGAGGTATTGAATAGAGTTGAAGGATGGGACTAATAACAAATAACAACAAATAATAACAAAGATATCTAATAATGTAAGCATACTGTGTCCATAATAAGTATATAGGTTGTATGTTGGGAGCTTTTGGGAAAGAGCACAGTTAGAAAGATATGGCATATAGAAGCAAACCGGATGGACATCATGAAAATGATCGGAGAGGTTGAGAGTAGAAGAAGTTCAGGAGCAAAAAAAAAAAAAATATATATATATATATATATATATATACAGTGGGGGGAAAAAGTATTTAGTCAGCCACCAATTGTGCAAGTTCTCCCACTTAAAAAGATGAGAGAGGCCTGTAATTTTCATCATAGGTACATGTCAACTATGACAGACAAATTAAGATTATTTTTTCCAGAAAATCACATTGTAGGATTTTTTATGAATTTATTTGCAAATTATGGTGGAAAATAAGTATTTGGTCACCTACTAACAAGCAAGATTTCTGGCTCTCACAGACCTGTAACTTCTTCTTTAAGAGGCTCCTCTGTCCTCCACTCGTTACCTGTATTAATGGCACCTGTTTGAACTTGTTATCAGTATAAAAGACACCTGTCCACAACCTCAAACAGTCACACTCCAAACTCCACTCTGGCCAAGACCAAAGAGCTGTCAAAGGACACCAGAAACAAAATTGTAGACCTGCACCAGGCTGGGAAGACTGAATCTGCAATAGGTAAGCAGCTTGGTTTGAAGAAATCAACTGTGGGAGCAATTATTAGGAAATGGAAGACATACAAGACCACTGATAATCTCCCTCGATCTGGGGCTCCACGCAAGATCTCACCCCGTGGGGTCAAAATGATCACAAGAACGGTGAGCAAAAATCCCAGAACCACACGGGGGGACCTAGTGAATGACCTGCAGAGAGCTGGGACCAAAGTAACAAAGCCTACCATCAGTAACACACTACGCCGCCAGGGACTCAAATCCTGCAGTGCCAGACGTGTCCTCCTGCTTAAGCCAGTACATGTCCAGGCCCGTCTGAAGTTTGCTAGAGTGCATTTGGATGATCCAGAAGAGGATTGGGAGAATGTCATATGGTCAGATGAAACCAAAATAGAACGGCTATATATATAACTTTTTGGTAAAAACTCAACTCATCGTGTTTGGAGGACAAAGAATGCTGAGTTGCATCCAAAGAACACCATACCTACTGTGAAGCATGGGGGTGGAAACATCATGCTTTGGGGCTGTTTTTCTGCAAAGGGACCAGGACGACTGATCCGTGTAAAGGAAATAATGAATGGGGCCATGTATCGTGAGATTTTGAGTGAAAACCTCCTTCCATCAGCAAGGGCATTGAAGATGAAACGTGGCTGGGTCTTTCAGCATGACAATGATCCCAAACACACCTCCCGGGCAACGAAGGAGTGGCTTCGTAAGAAGCATTTCAAGGTCCTGGAGTGGCCTAGCCAATCTCCAGATCTCAACCCCATAGAAAATCTTTGAAGGGAGTTGAAAGTCTGTGTTGCCCAGCGACAGCCCCAAAACATCACTGCTCTAGAGGAGATCTGCATGGAGGAATGGGCCAAAATACCAGCAACAGTGTGTGAAAACCTTGTGAAGACTTACAGAAAACGTTTGACCTGTGTCATTGCCAACAAAGGGTATATAACAAAGTATTGAGAAACTTTTGTTATTGACCAAATACTTATTTTCCACCATAATTTGCAAATAAATTCATAAAAAAATCCTACAATGCGATTTTCTGGAGAGAAAAAATCTCATTTTGTCTGTCATAGTTGACGTGTACCTATGATGAAAATTACAGGCCTCTCTCATCTTTTTAAGTGGGAGAACTTGCACAATTGGTGGCTGACTAAATACTTTTTTTCCCCACTGTATATATATATATAAAATAGAATTATTGTAAAATTAACTCTGTCCATAAGGTGTAGATAGTAATTATAGACCGGAAGTAGAGGCCTGGGCATTGTTGTTCACTAATTTACTCCAAGTAGGGAAAGGATGGTGGGGTTGAAAAGTAATAAAGGGGAGTATATAAAAATAAAAAAAACATGGGGGATTGGAAGTGATGCAGACAATTACATTGATAGAAGATACAATCTATCTGCAATATTAAGCTGATCCATTCCCCCCGAAAAAAATAAAATTAATAAAAAATTTTATAAAAAGGTTTCTGTACCAAATATTAAGTTCTGCTTTTCTGATGTATCAAATTCTTATGTCATGCAATAAAATGCAAATGAATTACTTAAAAATCACACAATGTGATTTTCTGGATTTTTGTTTTAGATTCCGTCTCTCACAGTTGAAGTGTACCTATGATAAAAATTACAGGCCTCTACATGCTTTGTAAGTCGGAAAACCTGCAAAAGCGGCAGTGTATCAAATACTTGTTCTCCCCACTGTAAGTGTATGAGCCAGTATCACCCTTTAGCTGACAGCGTTTCCCAAACTCAGTCCTCGGGACCCCAAGGGGTGCACGTTTTGGTTTTTGCCTTAACGCTACACAGCTGATTCAAATGATTAGAGCTTGGTGATTAGTTGATTATTTGAATCAGCTGTGTAGTGCTAGGGCAAAAAACTAAACGTGCACCCCTTGGGGTCCCGAGGATCGAGTTTGGGAAACCCTGCAAGACTTAGCATCATTGAACTACTGAATAATTATCTTCTTGCAGGGTAACACACCTCCTCTGAAAAAGTCCCAGATAGTAAGGAATAAAAGGGAGATAGTAATATGTTTGTTCTTTTAATGTTGAAGATACACTATATGTGCTGTCTTCAACTGTAGATATTCCAATCATTTGGAAAGCTACAGATCGTCATGAGTGGATAACAGTGAAGGTGCCACCCTATAGTGGCTCTATATGGAACATCCATGTCTCAGCTTGGTTCAGACTGTTGAATACAAAACCGTGCAGTGGAAAACACAATGGTGCCTCTAAAAGCAGGTTTAGGACAAACTAAAGACGTTGGCCATACTGAAAGAAGTTTGTTTGTTCTTTTTACAGTCTGACTCTTCAGACAATGCAGATGGTAAACAAGGTGAGTTGGCCTCTATATCCCAATCAGATAATTATATTTTTTAATTACATTTAGTGATATTTAATCTTTATGTACACAAGGATGGCTCAACTCAATTATGCCACAGCGTCTGTCTTGCCGTTCAGCTTGCCAGCTGCCATGTGGTACAATAAAAGTGAACAAAATGTTTCATTAAATTAGAGCGCTAGGTAACACTTTGTTTAGACAGTCCCTTGTAAAAGCTCTACGAACCATCCACACATTTGCTGTGTATTCTATTTCTAAAAAGTGTTCAATATTGGTCTTCTTTGTTATGTCTCTCTGTAGGAAAGCCAGAGAGTCAAACATCGTCGATAGACTTGTCGTCGATAGCGCCCAGGTCTAAACCCACCAGTGTTACACTCAGACCCCCAGCACCCCAGAGCATCAAGCCCCACATGGGACCACACACTTTGGGACCCCTGAGCCCTGGCAGCAGCCACAGCCCAGGTATGCATATGAATAAGTATACTTTATTGATAGTGATACTCAGATGGGAAATAAGGGCACCAGAAACAAAAATAGATGAAGAAGAAGATTACTTTGCTATTGTGATTTATCTTGCCTTAATTTGTCCTGTTGTCTGTAACCATTCTTTATTTGTCTATTTTTCACCCTCAGATGATACCCCTGACTCCCCTCTTGGCAACGTATCCCCAAAAGGACCACTGCCCGCCCCTCGCCTGAAGAAGGCACCCTCAGACTATGAGAGGGAAGGGGAGAGTAGCCACATTAATCGTAGGTATATCTATTACCCGTGTACCCTCCACCCAGAAGAACTGATTTAGGAACAGCTCACCACAGTCCAATGTTGATATTGAGAGTAAATAGAATAAGCAAAGCTGTTTTGCTTCACGTAAAGACAAAGGGATTTATTTCAGTTCACTGAGAACATAGTATGCTATAGAAATAAAGTCACTATGTGAGTTTGGTAGTATTGAATAGACACCTGGTATGATTGAAGCATTAAAGCATCTTTTACCCTCATCTCTCTCTCCATTAGTTGAACTCACAGGAGACTCCAGCCCATTTGACTTGGACCAAGAGACGGACAGGTCTGCTATTGACGGGAGACAGTGGTCCTCCCTGAAGCGCTCCACTTCTGTGGCACAGGAAGTAGAGGGTCGAGAGCGCACCAAGTCCCTCCCTGCATCTGGTTAGACCAATTACCTTCTCTCCTTCAGCTGTTTTTTTTTATACTTAAGACACGTACAGTAGTGTAGTGTTGGGTGTATCAACAACTAATGGTAGTAAAGTAAGTTGCAGCAGTTTTGGCACGTCCAATTGTGGCCGTACCTTTTGAATAACATGCAGTGGAACTGGCCGTTCTCAGTAATAGTAGTTGTAGGGGTTTCTCCTGGAGCTCCAGTAGCTATTTCTGTTGGTTTATTAGTAATCACACAGCTGTGACGTCGTTTGTAGTCTCAGTAGTACCAGTAGTTATGGTGTAGGCTACCAGTTGGAGCTTCCTCATTGTTTAGTACCATATCAGCTCACACACCACTGTCTTGTGTCACTGTCCTTGCAGTGAGACCTTCATCCATGGTGGACCTTGCCCACTACCAAAGCCCTGGGGTGTTTGCTAAAGACAACAACACCGAAGAGGACTTCCCTCCTCCCCCTGACACGGACCAAAGACAGGACCTCAGGCCTGACAACATGGAGGAGGACACCATCGATGACGACATCCCAGTGTAGAGAGAAAAGCTACATACTTTCCCCAAAGTGTTCCATGGAGTGTCCAAGTGTGGAGAATCGTAATACAGCCAAAGAGCAAAGAACAAAAAAAAGCTTATGGAGAAAACCATGCCAGTACCTTATTCTGAATTATCTTAATCTAAACAAAGGCCGTTGATTGGCTTATTCAATCAACCAATAAGCACTACTGTGTTCCTATGTCTAATATGCATGTTATGTAGATTTATGTCAAAATGTATTAATACACTGAAAGAGACATGGATATGTTGAAAAGTACACTACATTACCAAAAGTATGTGGACACCTGCTCATCGAAACATCTCATTCCAAAATCATGGGTATTAATATGGAGTTGGTCCCCCCTTTGCTGCTATAACAGCCTCCACTCTTCTGGGAAGGCTTTCCACTAGATGTTGGAACATTGCTGCGGGGACTTGCTTTCATTCAGCCACAAAAGCATTAGTGAGGTCAGGCACTGAGGTTGGGCGATTAGGCCAGACTCGCAGTCAGCGTTCCAATTCATCCCAAAGGTGTTCGATGGTGTTGAGGTCAGGGCTCTGTGTAGGCCAGTCAAGTTCTTCCACACCAATCTCGACAAACCATTTCTGTATGGACCGCGCTTTGTGCACGGTGGCATTGTCATGCTGAAACAGGAAAGGGCCTTCCCCAAACTGTTGCCACAAAGTTGGAAGCACAGAATCATCTAGAATGTCACTGTATGCTGTAGCTTTAACATTTCCCTTCACTGGAACAAAGGGACCTAGCCCGAACCATGAAAAACAGCCCAAGACCATTATTCCTCCTCCTCCAAACTTTACAGTTGGCACTATGCATTGGGGCAGGTACCGTTCTCCTGGCATCCACCAAACCCAGATGTGTCCGTTGGACTGACAGATGGTGAAGCATGATTCATCACTCCAGAGAGCGCGTTTCCACTGCTCCAGAGTCCAATGGCGGCAAGCTTTACACCACTCCAGCCGACGCTCGGCCATGGAAACTCATTTCATGAAGCTCCCGTCGAACAGTACTTGTGCTGACGTTGCTTCAAGAGGCAGTCTAGAACTCGGTAGTGAATGTTGCAACCAAGGACAGAACATTTTTATGCACTACGCGCTTCAGCACTCGGCAGTCCCGTTCTGTGAGCTTGTGTGGCCTACCACTTCACAGCTGAGCCGTTGTTGCTTCTAGACTTTTCCACTTCACAATAACAGCACCTACAGTTGACCGGGGCAGCTCTAGCAGGGTAGAAATTTGATGAACTGACTTGTTGGAAAGGTGGCATCCTATGACGGTGCCACGTTGAAAGTCACAGCTCTTCAGTAAGGCCATTCTACTGCCAATGTTTGTCTATGGAGATTGCATGGCTGTGTGCTCGATTATATACACCTGTCAGCAACGGGTGTGGTTGAAATAGCCAAATCCACTAATTTGAAGGGGTGTCCACATACTTTTATTTATATATATAAACTCAGCAAAAAAAGAAACGTCCTCTCACTGTCAACTGCGTTTATTTTCAGCAAACTTAACATGTGTAAATATTTGTATGAACATAACAAGATTCAACAACTGAGACATAAACTGAACAAGTTCCACAGACATGTGACTAACAGAAATTGAATAATGTGTCCCTGAACAAAGGGGGGGTCAAAATCAAAAGTAACAGTCAGTATCTGGTGTGGCCACCAGCTGCATTAAGTACTGCAGTGCATCTCCTCATGGACTGCACCAGATTTGCCAGTTCTTGCTGTAAGATGTTACCCCACTCTTCCACCAAGGCACCTGCAAGTTTCCTGACATTTCTGGGGGGAATGGCCCTCACCCTCCGATCCAACAGATCCCAGACGTGCTCAATGGGATTGAGATCCGGGCTCTTCGCTGGCCATGGCAGAACACTGACATTCCTGTCTTGCAGGAAATCATGCACAAAACGAGCAGTATGGCTGGTGGCATTGTCATGCTGGAGGGTCATGTCAGGATGAGCCTGCAGGAAGGGTACCACATGAGGGAGGAGGATGTCTTCCCTGTAATGCACAGCGTTGAGATTGCCTGCAATGACAACAAGCTCAGTCCGATGATGCTGTGACACACCGCCCCAGACCATGACGGACCCTCCATCTCCAAATCGATCCCGCTCCAGAGTACAGGCCTTGGTGTAACGCTCATTCCTTCTACGATAAGTGCGAATCCGACCATCACCCCTGGTGAGACAAAACCGCGACTCGTCAGTGAAGAGCACTTTTTGCCAGTCCTGTCTGGTCCAGCGACGGTGGGTTTGTGCCCATAGGCGACGTTGCTGGTGATGTCTGGTGAGGACCTGCCTTACAACAAGCCTACAAGCCCTCAGTCCAGCCTCTCTCAGCTTATTGCGGACAGTCTGAGCACTGATGGAGGGATTGTGCGTTCCTGGTGTAACTCGGGCAGTTGTTGTTGCCATCCTGTACCTGTCCCGCAGGTGTGATGTTCGGAGATACCGATCCTGTGCAGGTGTTCTTACACGTGGTCTGCTTCTGCGAGGACGATCAGCTGTCCGTCCTGTTTCCCTGTAGCGCTGTCTTAGGCGTCTCACAGTACGGACATTGCAATTTATTGCCCTGGCCACATCTGCAGTCCTCGTGCCTCCTTGCATCATGCCTAAGGCACGTTCACGCACATGAGCAGGGACCCTGGGCATCTTTCTTTTGGTGTTTATCAGAGTCAGTAGAAAGGCCTCTTCAGTGTCCTAAGTTTTCATAACTGTGACCTTAATTGCCTACGGTCTGTAAGCTGTTAGTGTCTTAACCACCTTTCCACAGGTGCATGTTCATTAATTGTTTATGGTTCATTGAACAAGCATGGAAAACAGTGTTTAAACCCTTTACAATTAAGATCTGTGAAGTTATTTGGATTTTTACGAATTATCGTTGAAAGACAGGGTTCTGAAAAAGGGACGTTTCTTTTTTTGCTGAGTTTATATGTGTGTATGGGATTTACGTTGTACCATGGGCACATTGATCTAGTAAACCTTATTAATGACAGGCATAATATAACTTTGATATATCATGATTTATATTAAATACATTTATTGTGGGGCTTGGTGATGGTTTCTAGTGTTATAGTTTTATTGGTTAAATTGATTTATGCTGAATACATACTTTTATTTTATTTTATATATCTTTTTTTTTATATACATTTTTTGTTGCATTGTAACAAAAACCTTAATGTAGTTGTCAGTACTCCTGTATTTGTATATTTCTACCAATAAATAATATGTGTACTGGTGTACTGCCACGTAGACATGCATTAACTTGGATCATATTGCATAATATAAGTAACCGTTTAATTGTATTAATTGTATCATGCTTCCTTGCGGTCATTGTCTCCAATTTTTTGGGGCAACCCCTATTGCGCACCTAGTTGAATGTCGTAGTTAAGTTGGTCTTCCTCGTTTGCATTTGGTGTAGTTTAGACTGAACTACAGCGAAGGAAACATCATCAATAGTATTGAAAACCTCATCAATCTCTTATTTCAAATCCACACAGACAACATTTTTATATTTATTTTCACAACTTTTAACATTTTGGATTCGCGCTGGTGTATTGGGCACGAGGTACCATGGACAGCGCTTTTGACAACCTGGATGCTGTGGGCTTCCTACAAATTTGGCAACATTTCGATGTTGATGGTAAGATCTTACTCTTTAATAATTATAACTGTATGTTGTCTTTTAATTACTATTGATATTAATCTGTGTACGCATATCAGGCAACGTTTTCATCGAAATTCCATGCGCAAACTCAATCTGAACTTTACACCATGTGGAGATAAATCAATACAGAAATAGGGTTTATTTCATCTTATGTTATACATTTATTTGTTTTTAGATAATGGTTATATTGAAGGAAAGGAATTGGACGACTTTTTTCGACACATGATGAAAAAACGTGGAATGAGTGTAAGTAGGCAACTGTAGGACTCCACTGTTCCTTTTCCTTATCATGCCTAATGCATAGTGTGTACAGATTCCTAAAAATAACTACAGTAAGCTTTGGCTACTAACATCCTAGAATATCCTAATTAGACCTACTTTGCTCAGTTTTGTTGGGGGCATTCAATGGATGTCAACATTAGATAACCTCTGAATCCAATCATTAGTCCACATTTTGTCTTTTACTGAAATGGCATGAATTCTGACAATAAAGTGATTTTGTACAGGTAACACTGAATGAAATACTCAAACAAGTGCAACGAATTAATTGAGCCCATATGTGGAATGTGTTCGAATGTTACTGTGTTGTTCCTAAAGGATGAAATAATGGATGACAAAGTTAGAAGAATGAAAGAAAGGTTCATGTCTGCTTATGACACCACAGCGGATGGTCGCCTGCAAATCCAAGAGGCATGTTTACCTGTATTTCCTCATACCTACCTCCTTCCCCCTTTATTTGTCTATATAGTGCATTTCGTATGAAGTATATTTAGAACTGAGAGGGAGAGAGGGTAATTGGATTGTGATCAAAATGCCCTGACAGCACCTTTTTGTGTGAAGCAGCCTTGAAACAATGTAATTGCTCTCATTTACATCATGTTATTGCCTTGCTTCATCTTTGCATGTCTTGTTGTTGACCACATGCAATTAATTATAATGAGTTTGTCAAATTCAATGAAATTGCATCTCATTTTGCATCTCATTTCGGCTTTCACATTTCGTTTTCTTTGTCCATAGACTTTATTTCCATACATTTTACGTTGACAGAGGAGTTATGCCTGTTGAAGCGGAGGGGACACTTACCCCCTAAATTGTATTGTACACAAAATTAGCCACAGTGATTGAATAATGCCTGCCTGTGAATGTTGATAACTAATTTGATTGAACATAAATGTTCCAGTTGGCCACCATGATGCTACCGGAGGAGGAGAACTTCCTGCTACTGTTCCGCAGAGAGACTCCATTGGACAACAGTGTGGAGTTCATGAGGGTAAGATAAAAGATCACATACAGTAGGAAGTGTTGCGGTCCAAAAGCATTCAACATACAGTGCATCCGGAAAGTATTCAGACCCCTTCACGTTTTCCACATTTTGTTACACTACAGCCTTATTCTGAAATTGATTAAATACATGTTTTTCCTCATCAATCTACACACAATACCCCATAATGACAAAGCGAAAACTGATTTTTGCAAATGTGTTAAAAATTTTAAAAACTGAAATAGCTTATTTCCATAACTATTCAGACCCTTTGCTATGAGACTCGAAATTGAGTTCCGGTGCATCCTGTTTCCATTGATCATCCTTGAGATGTTCCTACAACTTGATTGGAGTCCACCTGTGGTAAATTCAATTGATTGGACATGATTTGGAAAGGCACACACCTGAGCAAAAACCAAGCCATGAGGTCGAAGGAATTGTCCGTAGAGCTCCGAGACAGGATTGTGTCTAGGGACAGATCTGGGGAAGGGTACCAAAAAATGTCTGCAGCATTGAAGGTCCCCAAGAACACAGTGGCCTCCATCATTCTTAAATGGAAGAAGTTTGGAACCACCAAGACTCTTCCTAGAGCTGGCCGCCCAGCCAAACTGAGCAATCGGGGGAGAAGAGCCTTGATCAGGGAGGTGACCAAGAACCCGATGGTCACTCTGACAGAGCTCCAGAGTTCCTCTGTGGAGATGGGAGAACCTTCCAGAAGGACAACCATCTCTGCAGCACTCCACTAATCAGTCCTTTATGGTAGAGTGGCCAGACGGAAGCTAATTCCTCAGTAAAAGGCACATGACAGCCCGATTGGAGTTTGCCAAAAGGCACCTAAAGGACTCTGACCATGAGAAACAAGATTCTCTGGTCTGATGAAACCAAGATTAAACTCTTTGGCCTGAATGCCAAGCGTTATGCCTGGAGGAAACCTGGCACCATCTCTACGGTGAAGCATGGTGGTGGCAGCATCATGCTGTGGGGATGTTTTTCAGCGGCAGGGACTTGAAGACTAGTCAGAATCGAGGGAAAAATTAACACATTACAGAGAGATCCTTGATGAAAACCTGCTCCAGAGCGCTCAGGACCTCAGACTGGGGCGAAGGTTCACCTTCCAACAGGACAACGACCCTAAGCACACAGCCAAGACAACGAAGGAGTGGCTTCGGGACACGTCTCTGAATGTCCTTGAGTGGCCCAGCCAAGCTTGTAGCGTCATACCCAAGAAGACTCAAGGCTGTAATCGCTGCCAAAGGTGCTTCAACAAAGTACTGAGTAAAGTGTCTGAATACTTATGTAAATGTGATATTTCCTTATTTTTTTGTGCAAAAAAATCTACAAACCACTTTTTGCTTTGTCATTATGGGGTATTGTGTGTAGATTGATGAGGGGAAATAAACAATTCAATCCATTTTAGAATAAGGCTGTAACATAACAAAATGTGGAAAAAGTAAAGGGGTCTGAATAATTTCCGAATGCACTTTATTTGCAAAAAAAAATGCAATCCTATTATTGGTTGGGTAGTGTGTCCTCTATTCTCTTGAGTACTTTCATCAAAACTAAATGTGCCTCTCACTCCCCCAACAGATCTGGAGAAACTATGATGCTGACAGCAGTGGATACATATCAGCTATAGAGCTCAAGGTACATTCAAAGAATGCCTTTCTACTAATTTCCATGCTTCCAGTGAGACCACTGCCATGGCCCTCTCAGAGACATTGTCTTAGCTAGTTGTTGTCCACTTTCTAAGTAAGCATCAATGAGTGGCCAGAGTTGTTCTTGTTTACATAGTTGCTCTAGGTCTGTGTTGACACGTGTTGCTTTAAGGGTCTTTCAGAAGGATGCCCATTGTCCTCTTATGTGGACAAGGCAATAGGGTTGGGCCAATATATGATTAAATTCAATATCGTGATATGTGACATTGACGATATATCATGATGTGCAAGACTATACAGTGCAGTTTTATCAGTTAGGCAGTATCAATATGTTGAAAATGAAGTCTAAATGAATTAACAAAGCCTTATTGACTTGCCATACTAAGGTTATTTAATTAGAATGTGGCTATAATATTGTAAATAAGCAAAAACATTGCACAGTCTGGAATTATGTAGTCATTAACGGCGCAAAACAATTATATCGGATATCGCGATATTTGGAGTAGCATATCGTAGAAGTCTCCCCAAATATCGCCCAACCCTACAAGGCAAGACAGAAGTACTCCTGAGTGGCGCAGTGGTCTAAGGCACTGCATCGCAGTGCTAACTGTGCCACTAGAGATCCTGGTTCGAATCCAGGCTCTGTCGCAGCCGGCCGCGACCGGGAGACTCATGGGCGGCGCACAATTGGCCCAGCGTCGTCCAGGGTAGGGGAGGGAATGGCCGGCAGGGATGTAGCTGTTGATAGAGCATGGCGTTTGCAACGCCAGGGTTGTGGGTTCGTTTCCCACGGGGGGCCAGTATAAAAATGTATTCACTAACTGTAAGTCGCTCTGGATAAGAGCGTCTGCTAAATGACTGTAATGTAAATGTAATGTAAGTACTTTTCTTAGAATTTCCAAACACTTGATGGTTTATAGTCCACCCACAGTACATTTACTGAAGAGGAATTGTACAGGATGTACAGTACATTATACTATTTATGAACACTTTGATTCAGAATGATGGACAAAAGTGTTATGGCACACTTTTCTACCCTTTTCTTATTCGTAGTGGCTTAGAATCCGACTTCTCTGGACCCCTCCCTCTTCCTGACAGCTAAAGGTCCGAAGCTTCTGCGCATGTTCAGGATTCTCTACTTTGCAAATAGTCTCTGCTCTGCTCGTTTAATAAAATTAGATCAAAGCTGAATCAATGTCCGCAAGATCACATAATGATAGCATTCTACATACTCTGTATAATGATAGTATTCTACATAACAGAACCGAAAATAATAGCATAGTATAACGTTACTGTAAGACAAAAAACACCACCTAATTTCTTATGAGATTTTAGGATGATTGTGTGAATGGTCACATTTTTCTATCATGTCGCCAAAACTCAACAGTGTGTGCCACCAGGCAAAATATTAAGAATACCTGCTCTTTCCATGACATAGACTGACCAGGTGAAAGCTATGATCCCTTATTGATGTCACTTGTTAAATTCACTTTCAATCCGTGTAGATGAAGGGGAGGAGACAGGTTAAAGAAGGATTTTTAAGCCTTGAGACAATTGCAAAGTGCAGTTGAAACTAAACACAGGTATGCTACAGTTTGTTAACACCATCTTCTCTTAAATTCACTCAAAATTCAAAACTAAAGGCTAGTACAAAACAACACTGTATAACTCAAGAAGATCTAAATGCATATCCCAATGAAACTGATTGAGATCAAATGGTTGGCATGCAGATGCTGCATGGACGTTTTCTGCATTCACGATTGACAGTGAGAAATGTGAAGGGAGGGTGCCAACAAACATTTGTGCATAAAGTTGAGGTAAAGATACACATGAACAGAATGTGATTCAGATCTTCAGCTCTGGGGACAAGGGATCCGGGGGGGAGGGGCGGTTGCCTACGGATTCGCAGCCTCTGCCTTTTTTAAAAATTATCTTTGTATTTATCCTTTATTTGACCAGGGATGTCACGTTGAGAGACCAAGGCCCATGATTACCAAGTGTCTCAGAGTAGTAGGAGTACTGATCTAGGATCATTTTAGTCTTTTAGATTATAATAAATGGATCCTAGATCAGGATAATAAACCTGATCTTAGATCAGCACTCCGACTCTGAGACACTTGGGCCCAGGTCATCTCATTGGCTGTCCTCTGTGTCCTCCTAACAGGGTTTCCTGCAGGACCTGTTCCTCCAGCACAAGAAGACCATCTCCCCCAACAAACTGGAGGAGTACACCGACACCATGGTAATAACAAGCCTCAGTTCCTTTACTCTGTGTCTCCATCTGAGGACTCTTGAACGGCTGTCAATCACCATTGGTCAAGTGTCAACAAGTGTTAAAAGTAATCAACCTTACAGCCAATCGTCGTCCTCTTCTGGGTCTGATGTGTTGTGTGTGTGACCCAAACGCAATTGTCTCATCACAGATTGCCTTTGAAGAGGTTGAAAATGATCAAAAGTATGTAGGAGAAGGTGATCTGTTGTCTCTCAAATTAGTATATGATACCCTGTTCAATGGGCAATTCAATTTGGATGTAAAACAGATTGTAATTGAAGTTTATCTAAAAGGATGATTGGTGGAGAGCTATACATAGTAATGCTACTATGCCATTCAATGTAAATACAGAGTGCACTAAAGGAGTTATTTCTCATTGAAGTATGTAATTGGCGGTAATACCCTTGTATTCACTCCCGTCAATAGTATTAGTAATTGGATGGTAATGTACTGTGATGGAGGGTGATCAGCTCTTTAAAGATATTCAGAAGTGATGTGATTTTCACTGTTTAGCCATTGTCATTAATTGTGGATCATTAATGAATTACTCGAGAGTGAGAGGTGTGTGTGTGTGTGTGTGTGTGTGTGTGTGTGTGTGTGTGTGTGTGTGTGTGTGTACTTTCTATATAAATGTCCTGTTGAGTTTAGTAAAATATGGTGTGCACAACATACATTGGTATCCTTTGATTTACATTATCTTTGGTAATGTTGTACAGTGTTACACATGACATGTCACCAAGTAAAATTATCACCAAGTAAAATCCTGAGTATGTGTAAATGTTCTTGGCGAATAAAGGTGATTCTAATGGGTATGTACTTTGAAAAATTGTCTAATGATTCTGATGCTTTATTCTGTTTATTTTCCCAACAGATGAAGGTGTTTGACAAAAACAACGATGGTAGGCTGGATATGAATGACCTAGCCAGGTACTAATTATCTAGTAATTGTTCTCCTACATTGCTAGGTGTCTCTTATTGTGTCTCTAATTGTTTGTGAGTCACAGTGCCTAACTTTCTCCCTTCTCCCAGAATCCTTGCTCTAAAAGAGAACTTCTTGCTGAAGTTTGACATGAATGTAAGTATAACATTTGTTGATGAATTTTGCTGATAACCTGCAGTCAGATAAGACTTAAGACATTGTCAATACACGCTCCATCTTCAATTACTTATTGTAGTCCTCATTGGCTTGAATTAGAGGAACTAAATTGAGGGTGTTGTGGTTCCACTCAGGCTTGCAGTCAAGAAGACCGGAAGAGGGACTTTGAGAAGATATTTGCTCACTATGATGTAGTAAGTCATTATTCGTTTAGCCACAACATAATTGTCTTCAACTTCAATTGGGATTGTAAGGTTTATGGTGATAAGCATAGTAAATGAAATTACAGTGTTGCTTATAATGACTTGTTGTGATTTTACTGATGCTTCATTGGCCTTAAATATAAAAAATATAATATCAGTATAAATGGGCTAGAACACACAGCTGTATTGGAAGTGGATCAGTACAGGGGCGTAGGCACGGGTGGGCCTGGGTGAACCAGGCCCTGGGTGAACCAGGCCCACCCATTGGTAAGCCAAGCCCACCTACTCAGATTGAGCAAAAAAAACTATATAAAATGTTTTTTGTTTTTTTTTCAATATTTGTTTATGCTCTTTACTTGTCGGTGTTCCAAACTGGACATTATTTGTATTTTACCTAAACATGCAAACACCATCAGATATCATTCCTAGCAAGCAGTGCACTGGATTAGTCAGATTTGAGTAAATATAACATACTAAATGACCTGGAATGACATTCACTCTCACGGGATGGGTTGCCAAATATAACTAATTGAAAGCCACACCCCCAATATGACTGCATTGAGACATATGTCACTGTGCTTCTATGGCTATATGCACCATGTCACTGCCTATTTCATTTGTTCATTTAGCAAACAAGACAGCTCATAATAAGTATATAGGTTGTATGTTGGGAGCTTTTGGGAAAGAGTACAGTTAGAAAGATATGGCATTTAGAAGCAAACCGGATGGACATCATGAAAATGATCGGAGAGGTTGAGAGTAGAAGTTCAGGAGCAAAAAAAATATATATATATATATATATATATATATAGAATTATTGTAAAATTAACTCTGTCCATAAGGTGTAGATAGTAAGTATAGACCGGAAGTAGAGGCCTGGGCGTTGTTGTTCACTAATTTACTCCAAGTAGGGAAAGGATGGTGGGGTTGAAAAGTAATAAAGGGGAATATATATATACAAAATAAAAAATAAACATGGGGGATTGGAAGTGATGCAGACAATTACATTGATAGAAGATACAATCTATCTGCAATATTAAGCTGATCCATTCCCCCCGAAAAAAAAGAAAAAAAAGAAAAAGAAAAAAAAAGACAGCTCATAATCCAGCCCTCTGGCAAAATGTGTAGAATAGCATGAGATGAGCTTTAAAACAGCAACATTTTCTCTCAGCCTCATGGCAAAATGTGTAGAATAGCATGAGATTAGCTGTAAAACAGTAATTTATTATCTTTGCCCCATGGCAAAATGTGAAAAATTGCAGGAAGTTAGCTGCTTTTTTGGGGTGGGGGCATCCACATTTCTGCAGGCCCACCCACCAAACAAATATCTGGCTACACCACTGGATCAGTGCAAAGATGTATTCACAGGACTTAATGCATATTAAAGATACAGTGCTAGGAATTAATTAATTAAATTGAGCCTCTAATTCCATTATTAACTGAAGTTGTGGTCATGTTGCAGTGCCATGCTCCTCTGTGCTGCATGATTGTGGATGTGTGATGTAGTTATACATTATCCCATTATTGATCTGAATTCTAAGCAGAATTTAGATGCTGTCCTCTTTATAATCTCTCAAGGCACATCAGGTGGTAGTCTTCATCGCTTTTTCTGAAGTCAGCCATTTTGTTGTTGTTTACAGAGTAAGACGGGTGCTTTGGAGGGTCCGGAGGTGGACGGCTTTGTCAAAGACATGATGGAACTGGTCACGGTAAAAAACAAAAACGTTCTGCTATACCCTAATCTACAAATGTAGTTATGTTATATCAACGTATTATGTATTAATTTAGATATTGATGCTCCTATATTGATTCAGAATTATTGTAAGTTATGGTCTCCGAGTGGAGGCGTGGGTTCGGATCCCACTTCTGACACCATGTTACTTTATATTTAAATGGATGAAGCAAAGATAATTGAGTCAAGTTAACAGAATGTCCAACTGTATTAGACTGTGATTGGTCTTGAGCTAATGGTTTGAATATGCTTCCTTTATACCCAACATAGCCTACCATTACTGGAACGGACCTGGACAAGTTCCGCAAGGTCCTGCTGGGCCACTGTGACATGAACGGTGATGGAAAGATCCAGAAGAATGAACTGGCCCTGTGCCTCGGCCTGAAATACTCCACTTAATACTCCTGGAGTTAATACTCCACAGGAAGAATGACAGACATTTTAATTACTCTAGTTAGCACCACAGGCTAACCGCTAACTCATTGATAGCATGCTGCAATGCCATAGCTCATAGTTTTTAGACAACCAAAGAGCATTGCATGATGGTTGGTTGAAAGGAAGTTGTTGCATAGAGTAGACCCATTGGGGCTTTTTGGGAATTAGTTTTGTGATCCTTCATTTTGTTTGACTGTATCTGTTGATGACAATTATTACTTTGAGAATGTTGTGTGTGTGAACCATTTAGTATGCACGTTTCATACGCCTGCCTATAACTTGCAAAAATGTAGTGGTGATGTAAGTATTTTGGGATTTAATTTATTGTGGGATATTTGTGGGTTGTATTGACTTCATTTCCATGATGGCTGCATTTACTATCAGAACTGTTGTTTTTGATGTGCAAAAAATATGATAAAAATAAGTGCCATTAATGGTTTGACATTTCACCTCCTACTTTAAATGGTATTGGTAGAGAATGTACTATCAAAGTAAACATGCAATACAATGTAACATGTAATGCAATACAGTATGATATTATGAACAACACTCTCTGTGTCCCTGGGCATCTGCATGTTTCTCCAGTCTGTAACAACAGTCTGCAACCACAAGCCCATACAGCTCTGTTGCTGAACTAATTATCCCTATTTACATAGCCATAACTCGATTAGTAGTACATGTCTGGTGTATACCCATTGTATCAGAGCAGACAATGCTGTGAGCCTTGGGCACAAAGGAAAATATTGACACATAGCCATGACGATACCTGGGCTTCCACTCTCCATGATCTCCATGTGGTCCTCTGTAGCTCAGCTGGTAGAGCACGGCGCTTGTAACGCCAAGGTAGTGGGTTCGATCCCCGGGACCACCCATACACAAAACAATGTATGCACCCATGACTGTAAGTCGCTTTGGATAAAAGCGTCTGCTAAATGGCATATTATATTATATCTCAGTCCTTTCGTGCAATAATGGATATTCAGAGTTCCATTGTTTTAATGCTTGGTAACCAGAGATTTTCAAAAGCACAACAGCCAAAATGCTATGGAAACTGATTGAACGGCAACTCAAAGCACCCATGAAAGAGATATACAAAGCAAACATGGTCGGTAGTAAGTAGACCAGTATGGCTTTAAAAGCTTTTCACGAGTTCATTGGGCGCTGTGTTATTCTGTGAATCCAAGGCTCATAGTGCACTGTTACTGTTGTCTAGATGTAGGCTGATGTCATTGCTAAAAGCCCCACCAGATGCCTGCTTGACTAAGGCAAGTAAAGTGTCTCTAACCTAACAGCAGCTCACAAGCGGGAAAATTACAGAGGACAGCAGTCAAGAGATTCATTATTGTGCCACTTGCTGTGCCCTCAAATTCCCAACCACAATGTATTTTTCACTCTCAATTCAGTAGGAATACATTAGTCATGGTACTCAACGATACACATATTTTGTCTCTACTCTTAAATCAGTGCTTGTCCTGAGTGAAGCTGAAGCTTTCAAAGCATTTAAAAGAAAAATTAAAACAAATAGATATCGGTCATAGAAATACTTTCTCCTAAAATATATAAATCAATAATATAATAATAATAATATGCCATTTAGCAGACGCTTTTATCCAAAGCGACTTACAGTCATGTGTGCATACATTTTTACGTATGGGTGGTCCCGGGGATCGAACCCACTACCCTGGCGTTACAAGTGCCATGCTCTACCAATTGAGCTACAGAGGACCACCATTGAGCTCCAGAGGACCACCTCTGTAGCTCTGCTCACTTGAACTGGACAGTGGCATGGCAGTCCTTCTTGTGGGCAAATTTTGTCAAACTGTCATCAAAGTCTGGCATTCTCTGGATTTATGGGGCTTTCAAGACAACTGGGAACAAAAAAACTAATAAAAAGTTGAATCTTGACGTCAGTGTTCTTCAGGTCGGAGTTCTAGAAAGAGGCCCGAGTTCCTGACATGGAATTCCGAGTTGGATGACCGTTCAAAACGCATTTTCCCAGTCTGAGCTAATTTTTTCAGAGTTCCCAGTTGTCTTGAACTCACTGAAGTCTGAGATTTCCCAGTTCCGAGTTTCCAGTTGTATTGAACACGGCAGACGTCATGCTGGATTCACAGCATGGCCAATGTATTCAACATTTTCTGGCCCATGGTGTTGCATGTGAATGTTTATCATTTTAAGCTTGGAAAAGAGACCCTTAAACCCAGACTTGGACCACACACCCTCTCCACTGAATACCAGGCTAGTGATTGATTGTCAACGCTTGCAGTTAGCCACTGATTCCTTCCAACCACTCATTGTTGAATTTGCGATTTCCAACTTGTTGTGTAATGTTTATGTCCAATGGCCGATACGTTTTATCTATAATTTATCTTCATATGACAAGGATTGAAAAGGATTTGCCAGTAGATTGTCGACTTGATTCATGATGATGACTGCTTGTCTAGCTTGCTAGCTAAGGTTTTGAAAGTATGATGTTGACATGATCAGTCCAATCAAAGCTACAGTAGATATAACGTGATTTGATGTCATTTTATCTGTGGCCAATGACCTTGAGCCTTCTTGGATGGGCACTTCTAGTGTAAATCTATGGCAGCACCCAAGGGGCTGGAATTTTCGAACTCTACCCGTAGATTTTGTGGTGATGTAGTGTCCCCATGAGTGACAGAACATTGAGCCAATCACGGCTCAGCTAGAGAACATTACCAACCCCTACACTACTTATTTTCTGCTGGCTGCTCCACCACAACAGAAAGCACTGAGCTAGGCTGAAATACCTGCATTTTGGAGCTGCCTTACTCAAGAAAGCAAAAAAGAGACCATGATTGTGTAACCGGCTGTATCTCTGCGTTGTGTGTGATTGATTGGGACTATAGACGTGGACTTCGGAGATCAGGCTGTTTTAATGAATCAGAATTATCTCTGCATCCAAAAGAAAAGAAAAAACATTTGTAGAGCACAAATATGTTCTGCCCATTGTCGCCTCTTTCTCTCAGTGCATAACAATTATTTTTAGAATACAAAAATGAGTACAACCTCTCCTTATAATGTATCAACACATAACATACATTTTACATAGATAAAACCACATACCTGCATCCAAAAGAAAAGACAAAACATTTGTAGAGCACAAATATGTTCTGCCCATTGTCGCCTCTTTCTCTCATAGTGCATCAAAATAAGGTACGTAGACTGCTATTTAAATAGTCCGTTTCCTGGCCCTGCCATTGTTAGAGTAGAGGCCATCAATTGAAAACAAAAAATCAATTTCAGATATTCATTCATTAACTCCTGGTTAATCACTTTGTGGTTATGCCCTGTTTTTAAGGTGACCCATAGAGGTTTGGCATGTGCAACCAAAGATTGAAACCTGAAAATATCATGTCACAATCCATTCCCTGGATGGATCTTCCACCACACTGCTAGACAATATTTTAATATATTGTAATGGGTGGAATGTAAGGAATGGGACAGTAGCAAACACACACAACCAAAAGTTGTGTTCATAACTTTAATTTGCATGTTATTGATACTGTTCCATTCATTTCATTCCAGCCATTACAATGAGCCTATCCTCCCCATTGATCCCTCCACTAGCCACAGTGAGACCATTCTCTCTCTCCCGTTGCTGTTACAGGTGGGTTCCCCCATATCTGTGGTGTAAAGTACTTAAGTAGTACGTTAAAGTAATTTTCCTTAAGTAGTTTTTTGGGGTATCTGTAGTTTACTTTACTATTTATATTTTGTACAACTTTTACTTTTACTTCGCTACATTCCTAAAGAAAATAATGTACTCTTTACTCCATACATTTTCCCTGACACCCAAAAGTACTTGTTACATTTTGAATGCAGGAAAATGGTCCAATTCACGCACTTACTGTATCAAGAGAACATCCCTCGTCATCCCTACTGCCTCTGATCTGGCGGACTCACTAAACACACATGCTTAGTTTGTAAATGATGTTGGAGTATTGTAGCGTGCCCCTGGTATCTGTAAATTAAAAAAACAAGAAAATCGTGCCGTCTTGTTTGCTTAGTACTGTATAAAGGAATGTGAAATTATATATACTTTTATTTTGACTTGATACTTAAGTATATTTTTGCAATTACATTGACTTTTGAACTTTTACTCAAGTATTATTTAACTGGGTGACTTTCACTTTTACTTGAGTCATGTTCTATTAAGGTATCTTTACTTTTACTCAAGTATGACAATTGGGTACTTTTTCCACCACTGCCCCATACAACCACCTGATTCCTGTTATTTCATCCAGCCCAGCCGGCACTGAGCATAATGACACTGTGTGCTCTTTGTCATTAACTCCACCGGCTCTGTGTTTAAGGTGCCAATCCAGGGCCTCTTTTGGTTTTGCCAGCCTCCCCTTCGGACTAAGCCATTCTCCAATGCATCAGAAGCCTGTGCCAACACAGAGCAGCCAGAGAGGAAATGAAGACAGCCTCTAATCAAGATGTCTGTACCAAGGGATGATGGGAGGATTATTGGCACAGATTTGGAGTTGGGAGAAAAGAGGGGGATGCCAATATATGGGTGCTGGTTGGGGGCTCTGCAGCTGCACCACATAATAAGAAACAGAGTTGGTGGGGTCTGATAGCTAAATGAAAGACTATGTAATACTCGCTGATAGCCTATAGCCTGGAGCTAATAACGTGCCCTTAGATTCTCTGTGGTTCACAACAAAACCCCACCTTGCCACATGGTTGTCGACCTATTGCTAGAGTCCTGTTTATATGCGAAGACGTTCCAAAACTATTCCAACTTGTCCAATAAGAAATGTTTCATGTTGCGAAACATTTTTGCTACAGTGTGTGTTAATGAACAGAACCCTATGTTGGGATACATTGATCACACATTTCCTGCTGTGAGATAAGTTGAGTTATCTGTCTGAGTCATACACTATAGTTATAAATGTAGTACATGTATGTACTAATAATACTTTTTAAAAGCTGGGAGTGAAAGTATCATCAGATACAACATGTAGTTAATAGATGTTATTACACCTGGCTTGATGGTATGAAACATGGGACCTCCAGTAAGAACTTAAATATGTGTTATTTTCTTGTCACAGAACTTTACTGTGAATAATAAAATATTAAACAGGCCTTGAGGCTGAGATGCAGACAACTAGGTGGATGGTGTGAGATTTTCCACGTGTTAATTTGATTGAATTACATATTCCTGAGGAAACAAGCTACATACTTCCTTTATTCAATTAGATCCAAAAAAATGTCTATCTCAGTCTCAATGTGTTTTTATTGTCAATATTTCATGGCTAATGTGATTGTGATGAAAATACAGTAGATCTTGTAGCCTATGCCATTTTTGCAGTCATGTGATGACCTCTTGTGGTAGTCTGTGGTACACTACAATTAGTAGCTGCCCTCATTCATACCCAATTAGAATCAGAATCCTAACCCAAACCCTAATTCTAGCTTCATGTCCACATTCCAGTTCAACCCTTACCCTCAACCACAACCCAAACCCTAATTCTAGCTTCATGTCCACATCCCGGTTCAA